ATAAATACATGAAAAGATGCTTAACGTCACTAACAACCAGGGAATTGCAAATGAAAACCACAATGAGATAGCACTTCACACCTGCTGGGATGCCTAGAAGCAGATAACATGCGTAGGCAAGGATATGGAGAAACTGTAATCCTCATATGCTGCTGCTGGGAATGTAAGATGGGATAACCACTGTGGGAAACACAGTCTGGGAGTTCCTCAAAAGCTTAAACAGAGTTACCCCATGACCTAGCAATTCTACTCCTACGTGTATACCCAAGAGAAATGAGAACACGTCCTCACAAAACGTTATACGCAAATGTTCATAAGAGCATTACTCATAACAGCAAAAAAGAAACAATCCAAATGTCCATCACCTGATGAATGGATAAAATGCTGCATATACATACAATGGAACATTATTCACCATAAATAGAAACGAAGTACTGATTAATGATACACCATGGACGAACCTTGAAAACATGATGCTAAGTAAAAGAAGCCAGACACGGCAGGGCGCGGTTGCTCACACCTGTGATCCCAGCACTTTGGGAGGCCGAGGTGGGTGGATCACCTGAGGTCAGGAGTTCAAGACCCGCCTGGCCAACACAGTGAAACCCCATCTCTACTAAAAAATACAAAAATCAGCTGGGTGTGGTGGCAGACACCTGTAATCCCAACTACTTGGGAGACTGAGGCAGGAGACTAGCTTGAACCTGGGAGGCGGAAGTTGCAGTGAGCCGAGAGTGTGCCACTGCACTCCAGCCTGGGTGACAGAGCTAGACTCCATCTCAAAAAAAAAAAAAAAAAAGAAAAAAGAAAAAAAAAGGAAAACATATTAGTGTTTGCCAGAGGCTGAAAAGAGACACAAATGGGAGTGGTTGCTAATGGGTTCGGGGATTTCTTTTGGGGATGATAAAAATATTCCAGAGGCCAGGCGCGGTGGCTCATGCCTGTAATCCCAGCACTTTGGGAGACTGAGGTGAGTGGATCATGAGGTCAGGAGTTCAAGACCAGCCTGACCAACATGGAGAAACCCCACCTCTACTAAAAATACAAAATCAGCCGGGCGTGGTGGTGCACGCCTGTAATCCCAGCTACTTGGGAAGCTGAGGCAGAAGAATCCCTTGAACCTGGGAGGCGGGGGTTGCAGTGAGCCGAGATTGTGCCATTGCACTCCAGCCTGGGCAACGAGAGTGCAACTCCATCTCAAAAAATAAAATAAAAATAAAACTTAAAAAAAAAATAATGTTGGCCAGGCACAGTGGCTCAACGCCTGTAATCCCAGCACTTTGGGAGGCCAAGCCAGGCCGATCACAAGGTCAAGAGATCGAGACCATCCTGGCCAACATGGTGAAATCCCGTCTCTACTAAAAATACAAAACAATTAGCTGGGCATGGTGGCGCATGCCTGTAGTCCCAGCTACTTGGGAGGCTGAGGCAGCTGGATCACAAGGTCAGGAATTCAAGACCAGCCTGGCCAGCATGATGAAACCCCATCTCTACTAAAAATACAAAAACTGGCCGGGCGCGGTGGCTCAAGCCTGTAATCCCAGCACTTTGGGAGGCCGAGACGGGTGGATCACGAGGTCAGGAGATCGAGACCATCCTGGCTGACACGGTGAAACTAAAAAATACAAAAAATCTCTACTAAAAACTGCCAGGCTGTTTTGCAAATTGGCTGTACCATTTTGCATTCCCACCAGCTGTGGATGAAGGTTCCAATTTCTCTACATCCTTACCAAGGTATTATATACTATGGTAGTTCCCCTTATCTGCAGGGGATGTGTTCCAAGACCCTCCAGTGGATGCCTGAAACCATGGATAGTACTCTGGCTCCAGGACAGCCCAGCCTCTCTGAGGAAACAGTACAGAGCTAGCGAAGAGTCACCCAGGGCACTCTGGGAAGAGGACTTAGACTTATATTTTTTCTTATACATATATACCCATGATAAAGTTCATAAGTTAGCCATAGTAAGAAATTAACAATGACTCATAAAATAGAACAATTATAACAATATACTGTAAGAAAAGCTATATGAATGTGGTCTTTCTCTCTCAAAATATTGTACTATACTCACCAAAACTGAACACAAGGGGTGACTACTATATTACTTTTCTCGACATTCTCTACTTCCCACAGTGAACTTGTTTTCTCTTATAGTCAGGAAGAATACCCTAAATTAAGTGTAACCTCTCCTAGGAGACCTCAACACTTTGCTTTGGCCACACACTACTCCTTACTCAAAGACTTAGCCTCTCCGTCTCCCATCCACAACTCCCACAGTTTTAAGTATTTACAGTTCTTCTGTTTCCTTTCCTTCAGTGTCAGCCAGGACAGTCAGTGTGCTTGGAATCTCTGCTCAAGGAAGTCACCCTGGACAGAGATGCAGGAGGCCTGAGAAAGAGCAAAGGCCTTGGGCACAAGAAGAAGAGAACGTTACTCTAAAACAAGACCCCAATCCTGAAACCTTTTGGTGACAGCTGGTGACCTCTGGCAACCTCTGGCAAAGCTGTGTTTAAGCCCCTTCACTGCACTGTAAAGTTCTCTTGGTTCTCTTATAGCCTTCCTAAACCCCTTGTTGCCCCTGCTGTTCTTGAGTTCTTTTTTTTTTTTTTGAGACGGAGTCTTGCTCTATCGCCCAGGCTGGAGTGCAGTGGCCGGATCTCAGCTCACTGCAAGCTCCGCCTCCCAGGTTTACGCCATTCTCCTGCCTCAGCCTCCTGAGTAGCTGGGACTACAGGCACCCGCCACCTCGCCCGGCTAGTTTTTTGTATGTTTTTTTTTTAGTAGAGGCGGGGTTTCACCGGGTTAGCCAGGATGGTCTCCATCTCCTGACCTCATGATCCGCCCGTCTCGGCCTCCCAAAGTGGTGGGATTACAGGCTTGAGCCACCGCGCCCGGCCTGTTCTTGAGTTCTGAAATCCCTCTCTGACTGATTCCTCTGGGCTCTCTAGGCCTCATCTCAGCTGCCACTTTCTTCAGGTGTCATCCCAGATAGCTGGTACTAGTCTAAGTCCTCTTCCCAGAGTGCCCTGGGTAACTCTTCGCTAGCGCTGTACTGTTTCCTCAGAGAGGCTGGACTGTCCTGGAGCCACAATACACAGGACTTGCCCTATAGCAGGTTCACAATAAACAGGCATTAAGCAAATGGAATGACCAGGAAAGGCTAAGCATGGTCATCCACGAATGCAGGGAATCATCTGGGGAAGGGGAGGGGAAGGAGGAGCATGGGTGTCAGGGATGACAATACACGCAGCAACAGCTTCCAAATTCTCTTTTGCACCCCTGGAACACCTGTTCTGGAGAAATCCCTCATGACAGTCTCTGAAATACATGTATTGAAACTTCCTCAGCCTCATCAGCCAACCTCAACTCCTATCAGGTTGAGGTTCCCCATCCACAGCTGCTTTACCAACCAAGGAGGGTGGTTCTTTTCATTTCTCACACATGGCTTATACCAAGCCTGATAATGGTACCTACCTCAGAGGGTTGCTATGAGATTATGTGAGGCGATTTATTACAAGTGTCCAGCACATGCCTGGTGTACAGTAAACATGCAGTAGATGTATGGATTCCATAGCCCCCTGCTACACATAAGCACACACTGGGGGACATATCCATAAGCCCAGCTGAATGACTAATAGTCGTCCAATTTCAGCTGCAGACATGGCAAAGCATAAATCCTCTCTCATATGCTTGGTAAACTGTTTGTGGATAGCCCAAGTTTTAGTCTCCCTGATAAAAATCTCAGTCAATTATATATTAACACATATTATCTCAGGTATGGTCTGTCAGCCATAGCCTTCAAAATACCCAGACACAGGAAATATCTCAATGTCACCTATAATCAGTCAAATAAACACAGGCCTGGCCAGGCATGGTGGCTCAGCCTGTAATCCCAGCGCTTTGGGAGGCCTAGGCGGGTGGATCACCTGAGGTCAGGAGTTCCGGAGCAGCCTGACCAAGATGGTGAAACCCCGTCTCTACCAAAAATACAAAAATTAGCCAAGTGTGGTGGCGGGCGCCTGTAATCCCAGCTACTCCAGAGGCTGAGGCAGGATAATCGCTTGAACCCGGGAGGCGGACGTTGCAGTGAGCCGAGATTGCACCGTTGCACTCCAGCCTGCGCGACAGAGCGAGACTCCGTCTCAAAAACAAACACACACAAACACAGGCCCTCGCAGCATTTCCATCACACAGTATTATTCTGATCACAGTCATTCATAATCTTAGTCACTATCTCAAGGACACATAAAGAATATCAGTCACACTTGAAATCACACCGTCACACACTCACCCTCTCACAGTATCTCACAACCCATCTACAAAGTCTCAAAGGGCAACCATCTCTGTCAGTCACACACTCCGTGGTTAGTGTTACACTCAACCTATCAGAATTACACACTCCAACCCGTCAGATACACACACAGGAGGTGTCAGACACAGAACTGCCTATCAGACACAATAACGGGTCCGTCCCACACCCTCCCAGGCCACTGGTTCTACATTTTATCTGTTGTCTGTCCGCCCGCTCCACACTTCGCCCGCCCCACACCGGTCAATCAGTCCGTCCGACACTCTCTCCGTCGGTCCGACACTCTCTCCGTCGGTCCGACACTCTCTCCGTCGGTCCATCCGGCACTCAGTGTGTCAGTCCGCACCACATTCAGTCCGTGAGTGCGTCTACACTGGGTCCGTTGGTCCGTGCACACCCGGTCCGTCCACACCGGGTCCGTCAGTCCGTCACATCCTCTGCGCGTGTGTCCGGCACTCGCAGTCAGTCTATTCACGGCCCCTAGTCAGCCTCTCACTCTCTATCCGCTGGGAGGTACCCCGCATCTTACTCTGGCCACCCCAGACGTTCGCGGCTTCTGGACCTGCTGTACTCCCCTTTGACCTGGACCAGGGCGGAGAACACCCCCGAAACCCACCTCACCAGCACAGCCGGCGGACCCTTCCGGAGGTGCCCGCAGAGACGAGCCAGCTTGCGCGCCAGCCAACCCGGACCACAGCTCCCAGCACGCCCCACGGGCCCACGCCCGCCAGGACTACAATTCCCGGCGTCCTCCGGAAGCTCAAGCGTACCCAGGCGCGGCGCCTGCTGGGAATTATAGTTGTCGTTGGTCAGCACGCGGGCCACGGGATCCCAGCCCCGCCTTTGTGGGACTGAGGTGGCGCTGAGTGGGAGAGCCGCAGGGGATGCGCGAAAGGCGGGACGTGGAGGTGAGAGAAGTGTGAAGGCTGAGGGTGACAGTACCTGTGCGAGGCTGAGGGTGAGGGTGGCTGTGTAAGGGTGAGGGTGAGGGTGCCTGTGTGAGGGTGAGGGTGAGGGCAGCTGTGTGAGGGCGGCTGAGGGTGAGGGTGGCTGTGTAAGGGGGTGGGGAGGGTGAGGGTGCCTGTGTGAGGGTGAGGGTGAGGGCAGCTGTGTGTGAGGCTGAGTGTGAAGGTGCCTGTGTGAGGCTGAGGGTGCCTGTGTGAGGGCTGAGGGTGGTTGTGTGAGGGCTGAGGCTGAGGGTGTCAGTGAGGCTGAGGGTAGCTGTCTGAGGGTGAGGATGGCTGTGGTGAGGGTCCTGAAGGTGCCTGTGTGGGGGCTGAGGGTGCCTGTGTGAGGGTGAGGGTGAGGGCAGCTGTGTGAGGGCTGAGTGTGTGAAGGTGCGCCTGTGTGGAGGCTGAGGGCAGCTGTCTGAGGGTGAGGATGGCTGTATGAGGTCTGAAGGTGCCTGTGTGGGGCTGAGGCTGAGGGTGCCTATGAGGGTGAGGGTGGCTGTGTGGAGGGCTGAGGGTGGCTGTGAGGGTGAGGGTGGCGGTGAGGGTGGAGGGTGTCAGGTGAGGGTGAGGGTGCCTGTGTGAGGGTGAGGGCCTGTGAGGGCTGGGAGGGGTGTGAGGCTGAGGGTGCCTGTGTGAGGCTGAGGTGCCTGTGTGAGGGGTGAGGGTGAGGTGGCTGTGTAGGGCTGAGTGTGAAGGTGCCTGTGTGAGGCTGAGGGCAGCTGTCTGAGGGTGAGGATGGCTGTATGGGTCTGGAAGGTGCCTCTGTGTGGCTGAGGCTGAGGGTGCCTGGGTGTGAGGGTGAGGGTGCCTGTGTGGGAGGGCTGAGGGTGCCTATGAGGTGAGGGTGCCTGTGTGAGGGTGAGGGTGGCTGTGTGAGGCTGAGGGTGCCTGTGTGAGGGTGAGGTGGCTGTGTGAGCTGAGGGTGGCTGTGTGAGGGTGAGGGTGGCTGTGTGAGGGTGAGGGTGGCTGTGTGAGGGTGAGGGTGCCTGTGTGAGGCTGAGGGTGCCTGTGTGAGGGTGAGGGTGGCTGTGTGAGGGTGAGGGTGCCTGTGTGAGGGTGAGGGTGGCTGTGTGAGGCTGAGGGTGCCTGGGTGAGGGTGAGGGTGCCTGTGTGAGGGCTGAGGGGTGTGGGGGCTGAGGGTGCCTGTGTGAGGGCTGAGGGTGGCTGTGTGAGGGTGAGGGTGGCTGTGTGAGGCTGAGGGTGCCTGTGTGAGGGCTGAGGGTGCCTGTGTGAGGGTGAGGGTGGCTGTGTGAGGGTGAGGGTGCCTGTGTGAGGGTGAGGGTGGCTGTGAGGCTGAGGGTGCCTGTGTGAGGGTGAGGGTGCCTGTGAGGGCTGAGGGTGGAGGGCTGAGGGGGCCGGGAGGGCTGAGGGTGGCCGTGAGGGGTGGGAGGGTGGCTGTGTGAGGGTGAGGGTGCCTGTGTGAGGCTGAGGGTGCCTGTGTGAGGGGTGAGGGTGGCTGTGTGAGGGGTGAGGGTGGCTGTGTGAGGGTGAGGGTGGCTGTGTGAGGGTGAGGGTGCCTGTGTGAGGCTGAGGGTGCCTGTGTGAGGGCTGAGGGTGCCTGTGTGAGGGTGAGGGTGCCTGTGTGAGGGCTGAGTGTGAGGGTGACTGTGTGAAGGTTGAGGGTGAGGATGCCTTTGTGAGGGCTGAGGGTTAGGGTGGCTGTGTGAGGGCTGAGGGTGAGGGTGCCTGTGTGACTGTGAGGGAGCCATGTCACTTGCACACCCTCCTGCTTCTGACTCCCAGGAAGGGCAAGGGGGTCACTGGCCTTGGGGTTCCACAGAAAGAGGATTCCTGATTTGATGCTTAAGACCTGTGCCTCAGACGCCTGCCTCTATAACAGAAAGCCGTCGTCCACACAGACACCCCACCTCATCTGGGTACCTCCTCTGGACCTAGGCTGGGTCTTCATAGGCAGCCACAGCCACCTGTGCTGCTGCCCCCACATTGCCTCTGGCTTTGGGCTTCTCAAGGACTTGCTGTGTGATGCTGAGTTCCTTAACATGGGGACGATGTGTTGGAATGTGGCAGTGTTCAGGCCCTGGTAGCCAAATAAGGGGACCCACTTCCACCAAATGACAGCAGCAGCTCCCCTTTCCTGAGCACCTCCTGCAGGTCAGGCCAGCCAGCAAACACCTTTGGTGGTACTCTCAACCAATCAAAGGGGAGGTATTATCATTACTCTCTTACAGGTTGGGAAACTGGGGCACAGAGAAGTTAAACCAAAGGTTGTTTGGTAAAGTGACTGGCAGGCGGAGATGTGAAACTTTGTGCTTTCAAAATTACATATACATGTTTTACAGAAGTACAAGTGCTCAGCTTAGTGAATTTGGTAAATGCACAGCCCTGTGTAACTAGCATTCAAATTAAACTCTAGAATGTTCTGTGAGGATGGAAAAGTTCTGGAGTTGTGCTGTCTAATATGGCACCATCAGCCCCATGTAGCTCCTGAGTACTAGAAGCATAGCTAGTCTGACTGGGAAGTGGAACTTGTAATTTTGTTTGAATTTAATCATAACTACCATATTGGACGGCTCAGGGCTAGGACATTTCAGCACCTTAGACAGCTCCCCTGTAGTAAGTAGCCCTTCCGGAAAAGGTGTCCCAGCCTAATTTTTTTTTAATTTTAATTTTTTTTTTTTGAGACGGACTTTTCCTCTGTCGTCCAGGCTGGGGTGGAATGGTGCAATCTCGGCTTATTAGAGGCTCTGCCACCCGGATTCAAGCGCTTCTCCTGCCTCAGCCTCCCGAGTAGCTTGGGATTATAGGCACCTGCCACCATGCTGGGATAATTTTTGTGTTTTTAGTAAAGACAGGGTTTCGCCATGTTGGCCGGGCTGGTCTCAAATTCCTGAGCTCAGGTGATCTACTCTCTTCGGCCCCCCAAAGTGCTAGAATTACAAGCATGAGCCACCATGCCCAGCCCAACCTCTTCTTGAACTTCATGCAAAATTATGTGCCCTGTTATAGTCTGAGGCTTCAGCTTCATGCTATCAGGTTTCAAGGACAGCAGCCATAGGATACCTATATGAGGACTATGTGAGAACAAAGTGAGATGTCAAGTGGGTGAGTGCTCTAAAGAGAGAAAAATTGATCATTCCAGCTGTACTGAATTCAGGTCCTAACAGAGACTCCCAGGAAGGAAGGGCAGATGTGGGGCCTTTTGTTCCTTCCCACAGAGGCAAGAGTACTGAACAGACTCTTTGGGCCCTGATTTGCCCAGTGCCTACACCTTCCTCCCCATCTTATTCCTAAGCTGAGAATGACAAGTATGATGGTAGAGTCTGTCAGATCTAGGATCAAATCTTCACCACTCTCTGCTGTGATTCTGGGCTGCTCACATCCCTTGGGGTCTGTTTCCTATGTATAAAATGAAACCTCTTGTGAAAAGCTTTTTGCTCATTGATTAATTTAAGGAATGAATTACACTTAATGAAGTTTTGGATTTTATTAATAAAATGTATGGACATGTGTTTTTCTCTTGTTAGATAGGTACCTTTGTAACATCCTTGGTTTTCCCTCTGAGCCTACAAAGCTGACAACATTTGCTGCTTGGTTTTTTGTTTGTTTGTTTGGTTTTTGAGAGAGTTTCGCTCTTGTTGCCCAGGCTGGCGTGCAATGGTGCAATCTCGGCTCACCACAATCTCTACCTCCTGGGATCAAGCGATTCACCTGCCTCAGCGTCCTGAGTAGCTGGGATTACAGGCATGCACTACCACGCCCAGCTAATGTTTTGTGTTTTTAGTAGAGACAGGGTTTCACCATGTTGGCCAGGCTGGTCTCATACTCCTGACCTCAGGTGATCCACCTGCCTCGGCCTCCCAAAGTGCTGGGATTATAGGCATGAGCCACTGCACCCAGCCTGCTGCTTGTGTTTTACATAAGAGCTTGCCAACCATACTCTGATGGCCTGGGCAGTGATGGAGGGTTTAAAGTGAGGGGTGGCCTCACCAGTCAGGGGTAAAAGACCCTCTCTACCCAATGCTGAGTGGAGAGTGATTAAAGGGGCAATGGGAAGCAGGAGAACTGTGAGGAGGTAGTGGCCTAGAGCAGGCTGAGGAAGGCAGGGCAGTGGAATGAAGGAAGCAGAAGCAGGGTGTGTTTTAGAGGGATATCTGGTTTCTGAAAATATCTAGCCCTGTACCTGCCCCCTATACCACTGTGACTGCCACCCCACCATCTACCTCACCTGGCACCTCAGGCTCCATCACCTCACCCACTGCTCTGTCTCCACATTGCTTGGCCTCAGCAGCTACAGGGTAGGGGGGCACCTGAAGTCTCAGTCCTGGGCAGAGGTCCCAGGTTGCTAGTGACTCTTGCAGAGACAGGTTTGTTTCCAGGTCCACTGCCACCTTCTCTTTGATCCTACACACCAGTGCAGCTCTACGCTCCTGGCTTTGACTTCAGGGGCCCAGGCCTGGGATTCTGGAAATGAAGCACGGCTAATGAGCACAGGCAGCAAGGAGAGGGTGTGGTCATGGCCATACACACAGGCGCTCCTGGGACAGAGAGATACACCCAGGCCAGGCTCTTCACAAGCCTAGGTCCCACCCATGGCATCCCCTTCCCAAATTAAAAATATACATCCACACAAACACCTGTACATGAATGTTCACAGCAGTAGCATTTATAATATTAGAAGAGTTGGCAACAACCCCAATGTCTATGAATTAATGAGTAAACAAACTGTGGTATATCCGTACAATGGAGTTGTTTTTTTTTTTTTTTTTTTTGAGACGGAGTCTTGCTCTGTCACCCAGGCTGGAGTGCAGTGGCACAATCTCAGCTCACTGCAGCCTCTGCCTCCTGGGATCACACCATTTTCCTGCCTCAGCCTCCCGAGTAGCTGGGACTGTAGGCGCTCGCCACTACGCCCAGCTAATTTTTTGTATTCTTTAGTAGAGACAGGGTTTCACTGTGTTAGCCAGGATGGTCTTGATCTCCTGACCTCATAATCCACCCACCTCGGCCTCCTAAAGTGCTGGGATTACAGGCATGAGCCACCGCACCCGGCCTACAATGGAGTATTATTCAGCCATAAAGAAGAATGAAAAACTGATATGCTACAACATGGATGAACTCTGAAAACATGTTCAGTGGTAAAATGCCAGACACAGGAAACCACATATCGTGTAACTTCATTTATATGAAGTATCCAGAAGAGGCAAATCTAGACACATAACGTGGATTAGTGGTTGCCAGAGGCTGGAGGAAGAGCAAATAGGCAGTGATGATAACAGGTATAAGGGATACTCACACACCTGAGGTCACACCTGCACAGACAGGTGGCATCAACACATGCAGGACTGTCACGGTTGCTTCTGGACCGAATGAAGGACGAATGCAGAAATAAGACAAAGACAAAAGGATCTGTTTGAAAGAAGGGGTCAGGGGGCTCCTTGATTCTAGGGAACAAGGGCCCTGAGCTTTTACAGCCCTTCATATTTATTAGGTAGAGTGAATAGGGAGGAAGGGTAACTCTCAGTCAGCTATTTAACACAGGCCCACATGATTGCTTTCTTTGTTCAACAGGTTCTAGATGTTCCTGTAGATAACCTCAAGGAGCATGGGACCTGGGACATGACTGCCCCCAGCATTCCTTCTGGCGGCAGACACAGTTTGTCAGTTTGCCAGCATCTTGCTTTCATGAGAACAGTTTGCTGTTCGCTCATAGAGCCTCCAGTGGTATATTGAGTTGGTCACGACCCTCATTCCTTCGGCCTCCAACATCTCCCCCTTTTTGTTTTTGCATTAATTGAATAAAGGTAATTTCAGGCTGTGCAGCTTTCAATTGCTGGTTGGTGGTTCACCCGATCCTATAGACTATGAGCAAAAAAACAGAGACATAACAACATTATTCTTCTAAAAGAGACATTGAGGTTATGTTTAAGTAGGTCCAGGGGTTGAGGCTTTCTAAGTCCTGCTGGAATTCTGTTTAAGCTTCTAAAAGAGGGCTGTTATTTTTGAGTTTGCTTATTCAAGTTAAGAATTTTACTCTGTAAGTTACTGATATCAAAAGTAATATTGGATGTAAAAGCTCCCTGCAAATGAGCTTTTACAAGGTTCCATGGATATTCACTTTGGTTCTATTCCAAATTGATCACACAAATATGAATATGATTGAAATGACAACGCAATTGCTTCTGCAATTGCAAACTTTGTACCTGCTTTCCCAGCCACAGAACAGTAGTCTTTAACACTGCTACCTTTGTTTGTAATTCGGTATTAATTTTATTTTGAAGCATCCATGCCTGGTTGGCTGTACGTGTCCAATTTTCTACATATTGGGCTGTTTGAATAGAACTATGTAGTGCTACTGAGGACACCACAACCGAGGTTATTAGTGTGACTGAGATTACAGTAAAAATTACTATGTTTAAGGCTTTATGTGCACGATGAGTGAGCTGGGTAAGGAGTTTTACAAAATGTAAAGCAGGGGTGGCAGCCCAAGGTTTGGACAAATTGACAGGGATCCATAACCCAGGGATACGACCCAGAATTATTAGAGTGGGGATGTTGTGTGTTTGTATTGTGCTATGATTGAGGCAGTGATACAGTTGACAAGAGTCACAAGTCAATTGGGTGATGTTTACTTGGAGTTGCTCCTTCTTAGATGCTAGAAAAACATAGGAATTAAAAATACAAACCAGCCAGGTGTGGTGGCTCATGCCTGTAATCCCAACACTTTGGGAGGCCAAGGCAGGTGGATCACCAGGTCAGGAGTTCAAGAGCAGCCTGGCCAAGATGGTGAAATCCCATTTCTACTAAAAATACAAAAAACAAAAAATAGCCTGGTGTGGTGGTGGGCGCCTATAATCCCAGCTACTCGGGAGGCTGAGGCAGAGAACTGATTGAACCCGGGAGGCAGAGGTTGCAGTGACCCGAGATCGCACCACTGCACTCCAGCCTGGGTGACACAGCGAGACTCCATCTCAAACAACCACCACAACAACAAAAAAACCCCACGAACCATAAATTGGTAATATTTTTTACAAAGGTGATATTAAAACTGTGTTGAGTAATATTACTATTATTGGATAATGTTCTGACCCAGATGCTGTTATTCATAAATGGGAGTGTTGCCTTCCATATTGATTCCTGAATTGGGCCTCTTTTTCCTAGATGACGCCACTAAGGTAAGGCCGGGCTAAAGCCTGTCCTGTGCCAAGCAAGTTGTGCAGTCAACTGGGGGACTGAATCCCAGTGTGATGTGGCGAAGACGTGTTGAAGGTCCGCCACCAGTGCCAGTGAAGTTTGTGCCAAGAGATCTGATTTTCATCTCTCCCATCTAAATGGCCAAGGGAACCCCAGTCAATGTTTCCCATTCACACAGAGTTGTCTGGCCAAGGGGCCAAGACACTGGGTCCAAGGAGGGGGGTGAGAAACATCAAAGGGAGCCCATTCCGTATAATCAATACAATTTGAGTGATGGGGCCAGAAGTGATTGGTGAACACACCAGTAACATTAATGGAGCTGAGGCCTAATGAATACATAATTTTTCCGTGGCAATTTAACCATGCCTAAGATTGGACTGCAAGACAGCTGCAGTTGAGTGACATATCCGTGGTGATACATAAAGGGAGTCCTTCCAATGGGGTGGTATAATTGATGCTATTGTTCTGTGTCAGGGGGAGTTAGGGGTCCTGGTACCCACGCTCCCTGATCATATTTCAGGAGTGTCACTCCAGAGTACCAATCGCACTGCTGGTGGGTTAGGAACATATGCCCAATATGTTTTTGCCTCTACACAGGGGAAACATACCGCACAGGACACTACAGCTAGCATGGCCAAGAACATGGAGTCAGGGGTTTTTGCCTGACCCTGGCGCTCCAGCAGTTTCTCAGCTTCCTGGGTGGTTTTCTTGATCTGTCCCCATGTTATGGGGTTGGCTGTCATTGTGACTCCGGTCGGCCCTCGTTCTGTCTTCGCATTCAGATTCCGCTGGCTCATGGCTCGTACTGGAGGGAACAGGCCCATAGTTGAATACCATGGATCCCTCTGGTCTCCTATTCCATGGTCACACACACCTGGAGGGCACCCACACGGTTTGTCCATCTCCTGTAAAACACAAGCATACCCTCGTCCCCACGTCAGCAAATCCACCGGACCTTTCCATTGTCCCTCTTCCGGGGATTTCCATAACACTTTTGGATAAACTTGCCTCTTTTCCTCTAGCAATTGCCAGTGTCGTTCTGCTGGAGTCTTGCCCTCCATACCAGGAGTCAAACAATTTAAAGTAAACAAGGCAGCCAGGCGCGGTGGCTCACGCCTGTAATCCCAGCACTTTGGGAGGCCAAGGCGGGTGGAGATCAGGAGAGGTCAGGAGATCGAGACCACGGTGAAACCCTGCCTCTACTAAAAATACAAAAATTAGCCGGGCACGGTGGCGGGTGCCTGTAGTCCCAGCTACTCCGGAGGCTGAGGCAGGAGAATGCCGTAAACCCGGGAGGTGGAGCTTGCAGTGAGCTGAGATCCGGCCACTGCACTCCAGCCTGGGTGACACAGCGAGACTCCGTCTCAAAAAAAAAAACAAAAACCATAGTAGTAAACAAGGCTAAATGTAATTTTGTTTGAGGTGGTAATTGGTCTCCTATTCTCCCTTTTTGTTTTTTCAGCATACGTTGTAGTGTTTAATGTGCCTGCTCAATAATGCCTTGACCTCAGAAATTGTATGGAATTCCTGTTTTATGATTGATTGCCCACAATTGTAAAAAATTTGGAAAGCATGACTAACATAAGCAAGTCCACTGTCAGTTTTAAATTGTTTAGGGACCCATATATGGGCGAATGATGACAGACAATATCGTCAGACATGACCAGCTGTTTCCCCAGTTTGGCATGTGGCATGTAATATATGGGAGTAAGTGTCTATAGTTACATGAACATAGCGGAGTTTGCCAAAAGCTGCTCTCTCTATATATGTAGCATTCATCTGCCAGATTTCATTTGGAGCCAAGCCTCATGGGTTGCATCCTTCCACGGGTGCAACACCAGGGATATGCTGGCAAGTGGGGCTGGCTTGTACAACAGCTCGAACCTGGCTGCGAGGCAGATGACACATAACGAGTAAGGGCAGAGGCGTTTTGATGCAGTAAAGCATGGGAAGCTTGGGCTTATTGAAATACAGAACTGATGAATTTATCTGCTCTATCATTACCTAGAGATAGTGGCCCAGGAAATTGCGTGTGAGATCAGACACGAGAAATATGAAAAGGGGCAGCATGAGAGCAAACAGCTTTTTGGAGTCTCGGAAATAGGTTAAGCAGTTCTGGTTTTAAGGTGCTCTTGATAGTGGCAGTTTTAATGCAACTAGCTACATTTACAACATAGGCTGAATTACAGACAATAGGAAATAAAGCTTGAGCTTTAAAACTTGAATAACTGCCATTAATTCGGAGTGTTGAACTGAAACTCTAGGGGTCTTTATTATTTGAGTATGTTTAAGTCCATAAATGGCTGTGCAGGTTTTGGAAGAGCCATCGGTAAAATAGGTCTGTCCACCTGAAATGGGTTTGTGATGAGTAATCACAGGGCGAATAAAAGGATGAATTTTATAAAATTGCAAAATTTTGTCTGATGGATAATGGTTATCTATTATTTCTACAAAATCAGGGAAAGTGATCTGCCATGCAGTCGACACCTCCAGGCCTCAGCCTGTTGTTGGGAATCCAAGGTAACAATAATTTTATCAGGATCATATCCTGTAAGCACTTTTGATCTATGCCTGCCTATTGTTATAAATTGTGTGACTAAAGAAAGATAAACTTGCAAGGATTTTACTATTTGGATAAAAAAAAACCATTCTATTACCATTATAATTTTGTCTATGAATTGACCTAAAAGTCCTGCTGGAGAATGGGGGGTAGCAAGAAAAAACAAAAGCAAAGTCTTTTGTGGTTGTAGCCGGGAGTCATGTCATTGCTGAAACATCTGTTCTACAAGCTGTAATTCAGCTTCTGCCTCCTTAGTAAGTTGCCGAGGGGAATCTAATGAAGAATCTCCTTGGAGGGTTTGATAAAGATGAGTGAGTTGATAAGGAGCAATACCTAGCATTGGGCGCAGCCAATTAATATCCCCTAATAACTGTTGAAAGTTATTCAGAGTTTGTAATTTGTTCTTACAAAGAGCTACTTTCTAAGGCTAAATACTTTTTTCAGTAACAATAGTACCTAAGTAGTGGTATGGGGAGGTTGTTTGCACCTTTTCAGGAGCTATTTTGAGATTCCATTGAGTTAAAGCCCATTTTATTTCTCTGAATAACTGGTATAATACTTGATCTGTAGGAGCGACCAAAAAAAACATTATCCATATAATGAATGACATAGGTGGTGGGAAACATATTCTGAGGCTCCTTCAATGCTTTTCCTACAAAATGCTGACATAACATAGGACTGTTGAGCATGCCCTGGGGTAATAGAACTTTTCATTGATCATGAGAGACAGGCTCTCTGTGATTAACAGAAGGCACAGAGAAGGCGAATTGAGGCTTGTCCTTCTTGTGTAATGGTATAGTAAAAATACAGTCTTTAAGATCTATTACTACAAGAGGCTAATCTTTTGGAATGGCTGCCGGGGATGGCAGACCTTGCTGTAATGCACCCACTGGTTTAATTTGTGCATTAACTCTCAAATTATGCAGCAGTTGCCATTTTCCTGACTTTTTTGGGGTCACAAATACTGGTGAATTCCAAGCACTAACTGATTCTTTTGTACAGCCTGCATCCAACTGCTTTCTTACCAGCTGATGGAGTTGAGTCAGTTTCTCCTGTGATAGGGGCCATTGATCCACCCACACAGGTTTATCAGTCAGCCACTCTAGCGGCAAGGCAGTGGGTGGAGGAGAAGTATCAATGACCCCTATCAGAAATTCTGATGCCCTAGCCCTGTCCTATCCGTTTGCCCAGTTACCGATATTGGATTGGGGTTTCCCTGTAGGAACTTTCCCAAGCCTTTCCCACTCTGATATCACATTTCCTTCAATATTTTGAATCCTGGATTATCAAACTTTTCATTTGTGAGTCTCATATCCCATGCTGTAAGTAAATCTCAGCCCCAGAGATTTGCAACTTAAGGTTGAAAAGTACATGGCTGTCCATCTGGACCGAGACGAAGTAAAATTTCAGCACTCTGTTGAACACTTTGAGCTGTTCCTACTCCCACTAAGGATGTAGAGGTTAATTGCAGGGGCCAAGATGGGGGTCAACTGTTTTGGGATATTACTGAAACATCTGCTCCCGTGTCCACACGTCCATAGCACTTCTTTCCTTTAATTTGCACCGCACAGGTGGGTCAATTAGAAGCTATGGGTTGGGATGGGTAAATTTCATGTGTAGTTGTACTCCCAAATTCTTGATTTCCTGTTTTCTCCTTTTGTGAAGAAGGGTGTAATTTGCAGAGAATAATAATAATAAGCAATAGCTGAGCAATATATTCCCCAGGTTTAAAAACCCAAAGATGTTGTGACATTACAATTACTTGAATTTCTCTTTCATAATCAGAGTCAACAATCCCAGGGACCACAGTAATGCCCTGTAAGTTAAGATGGCTTTGGCCTAAAATTAATCCTTTATATCCTGTTGGCAAAGGTCCCCAAATGTCGGTGGGAATTTTGGTGGGTTTCTCTCCTCCAACTAACGTGACCCTTTCTCTGACTGGGCGATCTAATCCTGCACTCCCGGGTGTTCCAGAGGAGAGGGAGTCAATGTTCCTCCAGGAACCCACCCCTGTAGCCGGGTTGTGGCCTGGATGGGGAATGCCCTCATTGTTTGAGGGGCTGGGCCCAGGCCCCATTTTCATTTCCTGACAGCGGGGTGCCATTCTGATGAAATTTTGAGCAATATTGATTAGCCCAATGATTTCCTTTATTATGGCAAGGGCAGAGTCCTGGTGTTTGTGTGTGTGTGTGTGTTTGGGGAGGGGGCAGGTACTGCATTATAAGATCCCTTCCGCCTAGAGGTCTGATGGCATTCTTTTTTGAAATGTCCAATTTTTCCACAGTTATAACATTTTCCCACTTTAGGGCTCAACCCTTGGCCCTTTTCAGATTTGTTCACTACTAAATTAGCCATTGCTTGAGCTAACATTGTTGAACGATGGAGTTCAGTTCCCACACCTCACAGGCTTTGAGAAAATTTCCCAAGCTCTTTGTACATCTCACAGGTGCTAATGCACATTTACAATCTGCATTTGCATTTTCAAAAGCTAGGGTCAAAGTAAGCATTTTCGCAGCAGCAGTATGAGGAATTTGACGCTGCACTGCCTGTTGTAACCATGCAATAAACTGTGCATAGAGCTCTTGTGATTTTTGCATGATATGCGGAAAAGATCATACTGGGACCCCATTCTCAGGAATGGTGGCCCAGGCATGCTTAGCGGCCAAGGCACACTGATGGTAAGCAGCATCTGGAAGTGCAATTGTTGCACCAGGTCTGAATAAGAGTCACTACCCAACAGCATTTCCTCTGTAATGTTCCCATGTCCAGCGGCAAGATTCTGTCTAGCCTGGTCTGCACACATTTCTTGCCAATTTAAATTCCATGTCAGATATGCACTAGCGGACAAACAAGTGCAAGCTAAATGCTTTATATCCAAGGGTGGGAAGCACACAGCGCTGAATACAGATTCTAACAATCCTAAAGTAAATGGGCTGTGTATTCCATTAGTAACCACACTAGCTTTTAATTATTTCAATAATTTAAATTTTACTGGAGTGTGTTCATGAATAAACTGCTATGGATTTTTTGGATCAGGCCTTAAGGTGATAGGAAAAGCGCAAGGTCCTAGTGGCTCGCCAGCTATGGCTGCAGCACGCAGAATTTTTTGTATTGGGATCTCTATTTCTGCTACTGGGGGCAGTACAGGCCAGTTCTCATCCTCCCTCTCCTGTTTATCATTTTCAATAGGCACTGTTGGTGAGACAAAAGATTCTGCCATTTTTGAGATTCAGAACGTAGCTCCTGCTGTCCAGCAGAATAAGAAGGGGACAATGGCAGGAGGACAGTACAGACCAAACCCCAAGCAGAGAAAACAGAAGGATCCACTTTAAGAGCTTTCTGATAAGCTCGTTTCAATCCTTCTCCTACTTGGTCTCAATTTTCCACAGCCAGGGTACCTGTCTGCAGAAACCATGGGTTATGTGTAATAACCTCCTGTAAAAGCTTAATGTTTGAGAACTAACCTGAGCACCAGATTAAGTAAAACTTTAAGCAGCTGCACATAATGTTGCTCCTCAGTAGACAAATTCTGCCCCATGTTACCCTGATTCAGAAACTCCTCAGGGAACTGACCTTATATTCTCCACCTGCAGACTCTTCCTTCCAGGGGTTCCTAGTTCCTCTAATCAGTTTCACTTTCTCTGCTCTGGCAGACCTTCCTCGTTCAGGTCCCTGGTCGGGCACTACTTGTCAGGGTTGCCTCTGGACCAAGTGGAGGACGAAGGCAGAAATGAAGACAAAGACAAAAGGAACTGTTTGAAAGAAGGGGTCAGGGGGCTCCTTGATTCTAGGGAACAAGGGCCCTGAGCTTTTACAGCCCTTCATATTTATTAGGTAGAGTGAATAGGGAGGAAGGGGTAACTGTCGGTCAGCTATTTGATTTAACACAGGCCCACATAATTGCTTTCTTTGTTCAACAGGTTCCAGATGTTCCTGTAGATAACCTCAAGGAGCACGGGATGTGGGGCATGACTGCCCCCCAGCATTCTTTCTGGGGGCAGACGCGGTTTGTCAGTTTGCCGACATCCTGCCTTCATGAGAACAGTTTGCGGTTTGCTCATAGAGCCTCCAGTGGACCCTCATTCCTTCGGCCTGCAGCACAGGACCCTCCCCTCCCAGGAGCGCATAAGCGGTGACACCTGGCCAGACACGGGAGGTAGCGCCCTCACGCACCGCGCGCGCCTCTGCGCGCACCCACCGGGGGTCGCGTTTGCCTCACGGGTCCCACCCGCCCACTCGTTCACTCCCACCGCCAGCACGCTCAGGCCAGGGCGCCTGTCCATCCCTCACAGTCACCCTCGCCGCTCCTCCACACACCACTCACCACTGAGGCAGCCTCCTCAGAGCAGGCCCCGCGATAGTCCGCACGCCCGGCCGCGTCTTACACACCGCCGCCAGCACTTCCGTTACGCACTTCCGTCCGGTGGCCAGCGGCCGCCCAGGACTTCACCTCCCAGAAGGCCCTTCGCTTTCCTGCCTGGAAACGGGCATGCACGGGATACAAGGCCTTTTGGGAAATGGAGTTCCCAGCGCTGCGGGGCCGGAAGCGGGGCGTGGGAGCTGCAGATGGTCAGAACCTGTCGGTTCTGCGCAGGCAGCGCACCTAAAGGGAAGTATATTGACATCCATGGTTTTATATGTTCTTTGAAATATACAGCATGTGTACTTTTTTCTTGCTCTACGGGCACACATGTACACACATAGATATAAAAGTATATCGTTTGGAGATATTTTTCCCCCCGAATCTTGTATATCCTTAAGCAGATGTCCCTTAAGAACAGGTACGTTCTTCCACTCACCCAAGTAATGATATTGAAGCCTGTACCCAATCCCCAGTCCGTATGCTAAATTCTCCAGTTGTCTCAATGTCTTACGTAGTTTTCTTTTTTTTTTTTTTTGAGACGGAGTCTCGCTGTATCGCCCAGGCTGGAGTGCAGTGGCCGGATCTCAGCTCACTGCAAGCTCCGCCTCCCGGGTTTTTACGCCATTCTCCTGCCTCAGCCTCCCGAGTAGCCGGGACTACTGGCGCCCGCCACCTCGCCCGGCTAGTTTTTTGTATTTTTAGTAGAGACGGGGTTTCACCGTGTTAGCCAGGATGGTCTCGAACTCCTGACCTCGTGATCCGCCCGTCTCGGCCTCCCAAAGTGCTGGGATTACAGGCTTGAGCCACCGCGCCCGGCCCGTCTTACGTAGTTTTCATCTTTTATTCAAGCACAAACTAAACACGCATTACACTCTACTGTATCATTTCAAGTTGCTTTCAATCTAGAATGGATCCTGTTGTTTCTTTATAATGATCTTGGCAGTTTTCATGTATCCAAGCGAGTTCTCCAAAATGCCCTCCAATTTAGGTTTGTCCGTATAGAGTATAAAACAATCATCATCTAATTTTACACACTTGTTTTATTCCACTGACCCTGCACATTTCTCCACTGAACAATTTTTGAAAACTTTTTGAAACATGGCATTACACCGTATGAATGCCATTTATTTATCCCCTACCTCCAGGCATTTAGCTAGAAATTGAGCAACAGGTGTATGCAGTCCCTGTACATTCGTATGTTCAGGAGACTCCCTAATAATAGGCAGGCCCTGCATTATGCAAATCACCTTAATCGAGGGAGGTGCCCCGGTACAGTGTGGGACATGATCATTCCATCTACACACAAAAGGCCTGTATGACCTAGTGGAGGAGGTTCCCAATGTGCAAACTGACTCGCGTTACCCCTCCCTATTCCTACCACGGTCAGATCATCAGAAGGGTCTTTAAAAATTCTATCAGCTATTTCCGGGCACGGTGGTTCACGCCTGTAATCCCAGCACTTTGGGAAGCTGAGGCGGGCGGATCACGGGGTCACGAGATCGAGACCATCCTGGCTAACACGGTGAAACCCCGTCTCTACTAAAAATACAAAAAATTAGCCGGGCGTGGTGGTGGGCGCCTGTAGTACCAGCTACTTGGGAGGCTGAGGCAGGAGAATGGCGTGAACCCTGGAGGTGGAGCTGGCAGTGAGCCGAGATCACGCCAATGCACTCCAGCCTGGGTGACGGAGTGAGACTCTGTCTCAAAAAAATAAATAAATAAAAATAAAAACAAATAAAAATTATATATTTTTTGCGACAGAGTGAGACTGTCATAAAAAAAAAAAAAATTTTATCAGTTATCGTCCTGGCGCGGTGGCTCACGCCTGTCATCCCAGCACTTTGGGAGGCCACAGTGGGAGAACCACTTAAGCCCAGCAATTCAAGACCAGCCTGGGCAACATAGTGAGTCCCTGTTGCTATAAATGAAAAAAAAATTTAAATAAAATTTTAAAAAACCGTATTTACATCTAAATACCTATACATGACTAGTGGCTACCATGTTGTACAGTGCATTCTGGAAGATGTCCATGTTGATTTCCTTACAAGAGACCTACGGGAGACTGCTTTTCAGACTGGATGGAGATTTCTTTCCAGTTACCCATTGCAGAAACAACCTGAATACCTTGGAGGACATGCAAATAACACTGGAAATGGACTTGGCTGTTGCCTACAACTTGTATGTAGGGGGCTCTCATAATTGGGGCTCACTGATACAGGAAATTTTAAAAAGTAACTTGGAAATGTATGTGTGCACTATAGCCACCTTCCAGGGACCTTTATCTTACATCTTTGGTATCGTCGAGTTAAAGCTGTTTTACACTCAACTGTTTCTGTCAACTGAACACACAAACACACACACACGAGTATATATAGAACAAGTATGAATATGACCAAGACACACAGTCTCTGTTCATGTGAAGATTGTGTGGGGGACACAGACAGTAAACAATGAAAGAAATTATCAAACTTACTTTAATTTGAAAGAGTTAAGATTTTTGTTTAAATTTATTTTTTGAACTGGTAATAATTTTACATGTTTCAAAGATTCCAAAAATATAGAAGGATAAAGAATGAAAATTATTCCTCATCACTCTCCTCCCAATTCTCCTGGCCAACCAGTATGCTTGACAGTTTTACCCTTTCAGAGATTGTGTGTACATATAAACAAATGTTTATTTATTTATTTATTTATGAATGAGACGGAGTTTCGCTCTTGTTGCCCAAGCTGGAGTACAATGGCACAACACTGGCTCACTGCAACCTCCACCTCCCAGGTTCAAGTGATTCTCCTGCCTCAGCCTACTAAGTAGCTGGGATTACAAGTGTGCACCACCACACCCGGCTTTTGTATTTTTAGTAGAGATGGGGTTTCACCATGTTGGTCAGGCTGGTCTTGAACTCCTGACCTCAGGTGATCCACCTGCCTCAGCCTCCCAAAGTGCTGGGATTACAGGCATGAGCCACCCCGCCCAGCCTGTTTCTTCTTTAAATAAATGGAAACATACTCTACAGTTTGACATCTTGTTTTATCTACTTAACTATCTTGGAGCTCTTTCTCACATTAGCATAGTCTGAGGATCCCTAATTCAAAAATCTGAAATCTGAAACACTTCTGGTCCCGAGCAGTTTGGATAAGGGATACTCAACTTGTATATAAAGAGTTTTCATTTTTAAGGCTATGATCTCCATTCCACCGTAAATGACTTAGCCAGTTCCCCATGGTGGACACGGAGGGTTGGTTCCAAATTCTGACTTTTAAAATTAATAGCATAATGAAAACCATGTACAGTCTGCACACATACAAATATATGTGTAGGATTCATTACCAGCAGGTTTGCTTAGACAAAGGGTTTATGTATTTGTAATTTACATAGTGGCTGATAAACTGCCCTCCACAGAAGTTGTATCAATTCACATTCCCACTGGAAATGTATAAGAACCCCTCCAATGCCCCCTCTGAGAAAACTCAAGGCTGGTAAAATACTGGGTGGAGAGCACATTGTTACAATCCTCCTGAAAGTTAATTTAAAAAGCTACATGAAATTCATAGAGAAAATAATCAAAATATAGTAAGCATATGTTACAAGAGAACTAGAAGGGATTCCAAATTTCTAAACACAAGATAACTATACACATATATATTCCTCTGTGTGTATGTAAAATTTAGTGTACACTATATGTATGTGTAGACACACATATATATTTTAAGAAAAATTGCAATGAAAATTAGTAAAATCCTAATGGTAAGGACCATCTATGGATGGCTAAAGTATAAGGAATTTTACACAAGTTTTCATATATATATATTTTTACTTTTATGCATTTTCCAAGTTTTGCTACAAAGAACTCACATTACTTTTACAAACAGAAAAAAAACATGTCTTTTCCCTAGTTAACAGTAATTTCCACAGAGGAGTTTCTTCTCTGTTTCAAAATATCTACAAGGAAATCAGTAGGAATATCATGTTTAGAAAATGTGAACTGAAATGAGAAACAGAAAATATGCAAAGATCTGAAACACTTCTGGTCCCAAGCATTTCGATAAGGAATATTCAAGCTGTATATAAAGAGTCTTCATTTTTAAGAATATGATCACTATTCCACCATAAATGACTTAGCCAGTTCCCCATGGTGGACAAGGAGGTTGTTTCTAAATTTTTACTTTTAAAATCAATAGCATAAGGAAAACCATGTAGCCTGCACACATATAAATATATATGTAGGATTCATTCCCAGCAGGTTTGGTGAGACAAAGGGTTTACGTATTTGTAATTTAGAGACTGATAAACTGCCCTCCACAGAAGATGTATAAGAACCCTCCCACACCCCCTTTGAGAACTCAAGGCTCGCTGAGTTCCGGTTGATTGCTTAATCCCAGCTTACCACTCAGTGAGGCTGCTATAACCTCAGCCAACCCCATGCCCTCTCAGAGAAGTATCAACTGTGACCCCTTCAGGGCTGGCCGTTTTGGGGGCCAAGGTGGAGGGAATGAGGCAATCACAGGCCTGACTTCCACAGCTGTCCAGAACCATGCTGTCACTGTTGGTCCCACTGCTTCAGAGGGGCGGGACTTTCCTGTCTGGATTCCCAAGCCTGTGCCCCAAACTGCTGGTGGAGCAGAAAGGAGGAATGATCACGAATAGGGTTTTGGTACCAGACTCTTTGGTTCACATTCTGGCTGGGCTGCTTGGTAGCACATTGCTTCTCCTCTTAGGGCCGTCCTGCACTGTTGGTGGCAGTGGGGATGAAATGAAGTAAGCAAATCTGAAATGTTTACATGGCAAAATCAACAGGACCTCTAACTCCATGGATTGAGGAAGGGGAGAGGTCAAGAAGACTGATGACTGATTTTCTGGCTTCCATGAAGGGTTGGCGAGTGGAAACAGCCTCCAGGAAGGGGATCAGGGAAGCAGAGACTAGTCGGGTGGAAAATGAGTTTTGTTTGGGGTAGGCTGGGTTTGGGGAGCTTTCGGCACACCTCAGGGAGCTGCCCAGCAGCACACAGCAGTTGTCTGGGTCTGAAGCCCAAATCTCAGAAGCACCAGACTGATTTGGGAGTGAGCAGCACAAAGCTAGGGATGTGGATGACACCTGGGGAGGGCGTTGAGCACAAGGTGGACCCTGGGAGAAGACCCCAGGGACCCCAACGTTTAGGAGGGCTAACGGGAGGTTGAGAAGTCCCTGAAGAATTGGAAGGAACCCCACAATGCAAGGAGATGGAGCTTTGCAAAGAGGTTAGCAGGCTTCACAGTCCTGGGGATGAAGAGAGACGACACCAGAGGTGGTGCCCTGGACAGTGGTTGCAGTGGGTTGTGTGAAGCAGTAGGGGTGGACAGCGGGTCTGAGGTGTGAGCTGCCACCAAGGGAATGGGGAGCACAAGCAATTCTCCCAAGAGCTTGAAGGAGAAAAGCAGCAGATACGGCTAGCTGCCTCCATCATCCACTTCCCAAGACTTCTCTCCTACCTGTCTCCACCACAGAGGTTAGAAAGGTAAATACGAGGTTTCTAAGCCCCGCTGTTATTAGGGGTGGCCCCCTGACCCATCCGTGGCCAATGAGACTTAGGGGGCCATGTGCTGCAGGCTTCTGGGAATGTTTTTCCTTTAAACATCATCAGAGATAAGTGTTGGCCTGCCCATTCCCTTCTTTCAGTCTTCACTGTGGATGCAAGGGCTGGAGCCATAGTATCCCCGTGATCACGATGGAAAGGTTGAGAGAATTGCAGAAAACATTGGCTATGACACAGCTGAGCCATTGGAAAGACAGCCTTTGAACAAAGCCTTATCTGTTTAAGCCATGGTCAGCTGGGTGCTGACATCAAATTCTAACTCCACCACTTCCTAGCTTGGGCTGGTTACTTTTATTCTAGTTACTACTAACTTTTGTCCTGTGCCTAATTTTGACTATCTGTAAAATGGTACTAACTCACAGAACAATTATTGTGGCAGTGTCTGAGGACGCAGCATTTAGCTATGCGAATGGAAGGTTATCTAAGGAGATAGAAGTGGCGCAGGTCAAGGTAGGAGGCCAGAGTTGCTGTGAAAAGTGAGCACTGACACAGGCAATGTTTTGAGGACAACCCCAAAAAGTTAAGTGCAGAGAAATGAACCTGGGCCAACCACAGTGTCCTGTTGAACCTCTAGAGATGAACCACAAAGCTGGCTCTGGCATCCTGGAAGCTAGCTCTGCTTTGATTGAATAGCTGAGTTGTCACACTCCCAGCATCCAAAAAGCAAGAATGGACACGGGAAGTTCTGATGCTAATGAGTTCCAATGCTCAAACATTCCAACACGGTTATTCAAATTGCTGTTTGGCAGGGTGCAGTGGCTCACATCTGTAATCCTAGCACTCTGGATGGCCAAGGTGGGAGGATCACTTGAGCCCAGGAGTTTGAAATGTAGGAAAACCCCATCTCTACAAACAAGAAATTTGCTGTGTGTGGTGGTGCATGCCTGTAGTACCAGCTACAGGGGCGGCTGAGGCAGGAGAATCGCTTGAACCTGGGAGGTTGCAGTGAACCGCATGACACAGCAAGTCTCTATTTTTTTTAAAAAAAAGAAAAATTCCAACCAAATGCACTGTGTGGATCTTGTTTAGATTATGATTACCATGAAACAAATAGAAAACAAAACAAAATTTATGAGGCAACCCAGAACATTTGAACACTAGATATTTGATATCTGTTTAATGTGATAATGACAATATAGTTCTAGTTGAGATTTAACAAAATTAATTTTTCCTGTTTCATCACAGAAAGTCAGTGAAAGTAGGCCAGGCATGGTGGCTCACGCCTGTAACCCCAGCATTTTGGGAGACTGAGGCGGGCAGATCACTTGAGGTCACAAGTTTGAGACCAGCATGGCCAACATGGTAAAACTCCATCTCTGCTAAAAATACAACAATTAGCCAGGCGTGGTAGTGCGCACCTGTAATCCCAGCTACTCAGAGGGCTGAAGCAAAAGAACTGCTTGAACCCGGGAGGTGGAGGTTGCAGTGAGCCAAGATTGTGCCACTGCACTCTAGACTGGGCGACAAAGCAACACTCCATCTCAAAAAGAAAAAGAGGGCCAAGTGCGGTGGTTCACACCTGTAATCCTAGCACTTTGGGAGTCCAAAGTGGGCAGATCATGAGGTCAGGAGATCAAGACCATCCTGGCTAACATGGTGAAACCCCGCCTCTACTAAAAATACAAAAAATTAGCCAGGCATGGTAGTGGGCGCCTGTAGTCCAACTACTCAGGAGGCTGAGGCAAGAGAATGCCGTGAACCCGCGAGGTAGAGGCTGCAGTGAGCCAAGATCGCACCACTGCACTCCAGCCTGAGCAACAGAGTGAGACTCCGTCTCAAAAAAAAAAAAAAAAAAAAGAAATTAAGTGAAATTCTTTTTTCTTTACTGCAATGCCCAGTGGAGAAGAATATGAACACCCTCAGGGCTACTGCCCTGCTTTGAACTCAGGCTCGGCAGTTTTACCCGCCATGGCTTTCACACTATCAGGGCACAGCAAAAATGCGAAATGACAGCTTAGTATGATTGTGAAATGGTTTTGTCCCAGTGGAGGAACATGGTTATATATATATCCAGGGCAGGAGAGTGTGGGGGAGGTAGGTGGGTGTACCAGCAAAAACATACTACTCATGTTTGAAAATGTCCACAATAAATCCTTAAAGGTTATTCAGAAAAATAAGTGGCTGGGCACAGTGGCTCATGCCTATAATCCCAACACTTTGGGACGCTAAGGTTCGAGACCAACCTCGGCAACACAGTGAGACCCTGTCTCTGCAAAAAATAAAAAAAAAATTAGGAATGGTGGCGCATGCCTGTGGTCCCAGCTACTTGGGAGGCTGGGGTGGGAGGATCACTTGAGCCCAGGAGGTCAAGGTTGCAAGTGACCAGTGATTATACACCACTGACTCCAGCCTGGGCAAAAGAGTGAGACCCTGTCTCAAAAAAAAAAAAAAAAACTAATAATAACAATAATGGATTATCTTCCTTATTTCATATCAGTTATGAATGCTGCAAAACAGTAAAGGATGTACTAAAAATACATCATGTATAAACTAGCTAATGACACTATTTGTTAAAATCAAGCTTATATGATTTCTAGTCCAGCCCTGATCAATCAATTTGAAGTTTTTTTTTTTTTTTTTGAGACAGAGTCTTGCTCTGTCACCCAGGCTGGAGTGCAGTGGTGCGATCTCGGCTCACTGAAACCTCTGCCTCCCAGGTTCAAGCAAGTCTTGTGCCTCAGCCTCCCCCAGGTAGCTAGAATTACAGGCACGCGCCACCACACTTGGCTAACCTTTGTATTTTTAGTAGAGATAGGGTTTCACCAGGGGTCCAAGCTAGTCTCAAACTCCTGACCTCAAGTGATCCGCCCTCCTCAGCCTCCCAGAGTGCTGGGATTACAAGCGTGAGCCACCACACCCAGCTTGAAGTTTTAAAAATGTCAGCTGCATTTCTGGGCTGGGTTTATACCCAGGTGGCTTCTCAACCTTGGCACTACTGACATTTGGAGCTAGAGAATCCTTTGCTGAGGAGCCGTCCCGGGCACAATAGGATGTTGAGCAGCATCCCTGGCTTCTACCCACTACATGACAGTGGCACCCTGCCTCCAGGCACAGCAACCAAAAATGTCTCTAGATGTCACCAAATGTGCCCTGGAGGCAAGAGCACCACCAGTTAAGAACCTCTGGCTCAGCTGGGCGTGGTAGCTCACGCCTGTAATCCCAGCACTTTGGGAGGTCGAGGTGGGCGGATCATGAGGTCAGGAGTTTGAGACCAGCCTGGCCAACATGGTGAAACCCCATCTCTACTAAAAATACAAAAATTAGCTGGCTGTGGTGGCGGGTGCCTGTAATCCCAGCTACTCAGGGGACTAAGGCGGGAGAATTGCTTTAACCTGGGAGGCGGAGGTTGTGGTGAGTCAAGATTGCACCATTGCACTCCAGCCTGGGTGACAGAGCAAGACTCCATCTCAAAGAAAAAAACAAAGAACCTCTGGCTCATAGCAACACCAGATGTTTTTCAAGAGGAGCTGTGACACTCCCCTGCAGGGAATGCTGTGAAATTTCATGGGGGCTAGTCATGTAAGTGGGTTGGGGGTGTGGCTGAAATGTGGGCAGGAGCCATGCATGCTGCAAAGATGGTGAGGAACAGAACTGCCCCCAGTGGACCACATCAACAGATGTGAAATAAGCAGTTTTCAGGGTATGAACTGAGAACCTAACTTGACTTCACACATAAGCACAAGCTAATTGCTGCATGCCTGGAATTTACCCAGAATTTCCCAGAAATGCAATAATAGCACATTGTGTTGTTAAAAACGTTTCCAGGAGTTGGTTACTACTTTGGAAGGTCACGTTCCACATGGGAAGGCCCCTCACAGTATTGCCATGGTCAACATCATACCCTCTACCAGTCCACAAGCAACAGGCTATTGTCCTAGGTCTCCTGGCAAAATTGGGCCCACAGTGACAAGGAGAAATAGTGCACCAAGTCAGTACACGTTACTCTACAATTTACTCTACCATAAATTACTTTCATTTTAATGATCCTTTACAAAATGGGGTTGCATATTGATTTCTTGACATTACACAGGTGGGTGGGTTATATTACCTGTGAACTCACTGTGCTGTAATGGAAGGAATGTCACAAAAGATGTCTCTAAAGAGGGCACTGAGTTTGACAGATTTGGACCAACCAACCTTGGGTGCTTGGGAAGCGTCATTTCCTCAGAAAGTCAGAAGTCACCAATGACATTTCTACCCCCAGCCCCTCTTTTCATGAGTACACTATGTGGACTTACCACATTTTTGTACCTGTGGTTAAAAGTCATCAGCAAAGTTTCTCTCCTATGTGGATTCTCTGATGTCAAATAACATGGAAGCGCCCACAGCAGGCTCTTCCACTCCAATAACGTGCACGGGGTTTTTCTCTTGCATGATTTTTTGGATGTCGAACAAAGCCAGGGCTCTGCTTTCCGGCTGCCCTGCCTTTGCTCCGCCTGCAGAGCTCTTTCTGGAGTTCGAGTGTTCATGCTGAACTAGGCGTGAGTTCCTGCTCGAGGACTGTTCCCGCCGCCGGTTTCGCCCATGAGGCTGCTCCTCTCTGGTGTGAGTTATCTGGTGCCGGATGAGGTGAGAGCTCTGAATGAAACACTTCCCACACTGATTACATTTGAAGGGCCTGTCGCTCCGGTGAGTCCTCTCATCTTGACTCAAAGGTGGGTCACAGCCCAGGGCTTCTGTCCATTCATGCTTTGTGGGAGCTGGCGCCTGCTCGAAGATCAGCCGCTGGCGGCACTCAAAAGGCTTCTCCCCTGCGTGCTTCCGCTGGTGCTGGGCCAGGGATGAGCTGTGCCTGAAGCCCTTCCCGCAGTGGTTACACTCGTAGGGCCTCTCCTCGGTGTGAGTTCTCAGGTGCAGGAAAAGGCAAGTGGTCCGAGAGAAGGATTTCCCGCACACACTGCAGGTGTACGGCTTCTCCCCAGTGTGCGTTCTCTTGTGCCGACCCAGGGAGGAGTTCTGGTTGAAGGCCCGCCCACAGTCCTGACACTCATAGGGCTTCTCCCCAGTGTGAATCCTCCGGTGGACGGTAAGGTGTGTACTATGGCAGAAAGACTTCCCACATTCGGCGCACTTGTAGGGCTTGTCTCCAGTGTGGATACGCTCGTGCTGAACGAGGGAGGAGTTCTGGCTGAAGGCTTTCCCACACTCCTTGCACATATAAGGTCTTTCTCCCGTATGAATCCTCTTGTGCACAGTGAGGTGTGCGTTATGGTTAAACGACTTCCCACAGTCGGTACATTTGTAGGGCTTGTCCTGCGCCTGGTTTTTTGTGAGCTCCGTAACTGGAATGGCCTGACTGGAAGCTCTGTGACAGTCACTGTTTTCACTGGGCTGTTTTCCTGGGGAGCCTGTCTGCTGACTGACTAAGCTGGAGTTACGTTCTGAGTCTGTAACCTGTGAGTCGTAAGTACAGAAATACTCTCCTCTAGAGATCTCCGGGAATGGATTTGGGCTTGAACTCAGGACGCAGTTTTCCCCGAGTCTGAGAGTTTTGTAGCCTTGATCTTGAACTGGTGCTTCCTTGAGGCCAAATTCCAACTGCTTCAAGTTACTCTGCTCCTTGAGTGCCAGACCCTGGCTCTGACACTCCCGGTCTTTCCCTAACGTGGTGGGATAAGGAGCACCTGTCGGGAATCCTTCCCTTCCCGTGACACGGGATGGCTCCTCTTCAGGAAGGCCCTCTTCCTTGCGTGATGCTTGGCTTTCAGATGGAGGCTCCCAGCCTGAAAGAAAACCCAGAGATCTCTGAGCTGTTGGGAGAGAACAAAGGAAGGGGGACAGGCTTCCAACACCATAGGCCTGATATTGAACTGGGGTACTAACCAGCTGCCCTGGCAAGTCCCCGATTCTCTTCTTAACATCAAACACGGCTTTGCTCATTCAACAAACATTTATTGGGCACCTGCTGTGGGTCATGCACTGGCAATGAAGTGAAGGTATGAGTTCCCTGTTCGCTGCTGTAACTTAAAACACACTTATTATCTCATAGTTCTGGGATGCAGAAGTCCTACAATCAAGGTGTTGGCGGGGCTGGTTTCTCCACGGGAGGTTCTGGGGAAAATCCTTGCATCTTCCCATTCCTAGAGGCCGTCTGCATTCCTGGCCCTTTCCGTCACCTCTGGAGCCGAGTACAGCATCTTCAGATCTCTCTCACTCACCTCTGCTTCTGTTGTCACATCTCCTTTTCTGATTCTGACCCTCTTGCTCACCCAGTATCCGAGATAACCAGTTCTGGGGATTAGGACAGGGACTCTGCTATCAGCCAGGCTCCCCTGCTTTCGCCAAGCCCTTTCAAGCCCTCTCATCTGCTCTCGTCCTGATCAAAATACACGTCATGTGTTCATTCATTCCGGGTCCACCTCACCACACTACAACGCTCACAGCCAGTGCCTAGAAATGACAAGTAGTAGAAGCTCAAAAATATCTGTCTCAGTGAATGCTGAAGGAACGTTTCGAGGGAATGAATGAACGAGAGCTTGACAACAGGAGAGATGCTGGAGCAGCTGAAGCTGGCCAGGTGCCAGGCTTCCTGCTCAGTCACCTCTGGCCCCCAAATATGACTGTCTGGCTAGGTCCGGTGGCTCCTGCCTGTAATCCTAGCACTTCGGGAGGCCGAGGCGGGAGGATCACTTGAGGTCAGGAGTTCAAAACCAGCCTGGCCAACCCTGTCTCTACTAAAAATACAAAAATTATTTGGGCGTGGTGGTGCACACCTGTAGTCCCAGCCACTCAGGAACCTAGGCACGAGAATCGCTTGAACCCAGGAGGCGAAGTTTGCAGTGAGCCAAGACCACACCACTGCACTCCCACCTGGGCGACCAAGCGAGACTCTGTCTCAAAAAAAAAAAAAAAAAAAAAAAAAAAATATTGACTCTCTACATAGCACCCAGAGGTTTCTTCTAAAATATAAGTCACTTCACACAAAAATTTATACACTATGTTCACAGCAGCACTGTTAATTAACAGGCAAAAATGGAAACAACCCAAATGCCCCTCAACAAGTGGATAAGCAAAACATGGTCTATCCACACAATGGGACATTATTCAGCCACAAAAAAGAACAAAGTAGTGACATATGCTACAACGTGGATAAGCTGGAAAACATTACGCTGAGTGAAAGAAGCCAGATACAAAGGTCACAAATTAGAAGATTCCATTCATATGGAATGTCTAGAACAGGAAAATCCGCAGAGACAGAAGGTAGGTTGCTGGTTGGCAGGGGATGGGAAAGACAGAGAGTGACTTCTAATGGGTGACTTTTGGGTGACTGCTATGGACTGAATGTCAATAGCAAAATTCCTGTGTTGAAACCCTAATCCCCAATGTGAGGGTATTTGGAGATGAGGCCTTTGGGGGGTGATTAGGTCATGAGGGTGGGGCCTTTAAGAATGAGATTAGTGACCTTATAAGAAGAAATACCACAGAGCTTGCTTCCTCTCTCTGCCATATGAGGGCACAGAGAGAAGGCGGCCTTCTGCAATCGAGGAAGGGGCCCTTACTAGGGCCCGAATCAGCTGGCACTGTGCTCTTAGAATTCCAGCCGATGGAAGTGTGAGAAATAAATGCTGTATAAGACACCCAGGCGGTGGTATTTTGTCATGGTACCCCAAGCTGACTAAGATGGTGATGAAACGTTCTGAAATTAGATAGTATAGATGCACACAATCTGAGAATATACTCAAAACCACTGAATGGTATACTTTAATAGGTGAACTTACGGTATGTGAATTGTATCTCAATAAAGCCATTATGCAAAACCAAACAGACCCACCCTCTTCCCCACTGCAAGCCAGTCCTGGTCACTCCTCCATTCACTGTGCAGTCACTTCTGAGGGTGGATATGACCCTGTGCCCTTCTCCACCATGCCCTGGCTGGCCTGACCTCCTGACTCTTGCCCCAAGCCCACTCTTCCCCACATGGTTCCTCACATCCCTCCAATGCATCCCCCATACTCCCTCCTGGGGCCCTTTGCACCTGCTGCTCCCTCTGCCAAGAACCCTCATCCCCAGACATCTGCCCACCTTGCTCCCTGTGCCCCAGCTTGAGTCACTTTCTCAGAGTGGCCTCCCTGCCAGTCCTGGGGCATGAGTGCCCCACCTCGCCCTCCCCAGGTGTATTTTCCTTTACAGCCTCATCACGGCCTGGCACTGGCATCCATCTCAGACTTTCATCTCCCAGATGCTGAGTGAGGGCTCAGCCTTTCCTGTCATTCTTTGCTGCATCCACAGCACAAACAGCAGCACATGGCAGGTCCTCAGGAACATCCACGGAACAGGCTCGTGAGCCAGGAGACTGGCTGAGAGACAACATGGACGAAACATGGAGACTGAACACAACACTGTGACCCTGGCCAAGACTAACGCTGCCTGCTGGGAGAGTGCGGAAGAGCATCCGGAGGAGGGGGACTTGAGAACACTAGTGGGGTGAACTGGCCGGGCCAGGAACAGCAAAGAGCGCTGAGACTGAGACAGGCTCCAACTCCAGCCTGACTCCCGGCTGCCCAGAACGACTCACTGAGCCTGGCACTTGGGAAGCCACGGAGTCTCTGGAGAGAGGGTGAGCAGTTGATGAAGAGAGGAAGTGGGAGAAGAGCTGGGACTGCAGTCAGCCAGGAGGTGACCTGCAGCAGGCGAAGCTGAGCAACCACAAGAGGGAACCAGTAAGGAATGATGCCAGATGAGTGACAGGGGCCAAGGAGGGGCTTGAGATCGCCCAGCCATCCCTGAGCCCACAAACCCCTGTGAGTGCACTGGGAGTGGGAGCTGCCTGGACAGGGATTCTTTACCATTATTTTATTTTTGAGGCAAGGTCTTGCTCTGTTGCCCAGACTGAAGTGCAGCGGCATGATCTCAGCTCACTGCAACCTCTACCTCCTGCGCTCAGCCTCCTGAACAGCTGAGACCACAGGCATGCAACACTACACCCAGCTAATTTTTTCGCATTTTTTGTAGAGATGTGGTTTTGCCAGGTTGCCCAGGCTGGTCTTGAACTCTTGGACTCAAGCGAATCACCCGCCTCGGCCTCCGAAAATTCTGGCATTACAGGCGTAAGCCACCATGCCCGGCCTCTTTTCCTTTATTTTTTTAATGCTCTGTTGCTCAGCCTGGAGTGCAGTGGTGCCATCGTAGCTCACTGTAGCCTCGAACTCCTGGGCTTAAGTGATCCTCCCCACTCAGCCTCATAAGTAGCTACGTCTACAGGCACACACCACCATGCCAGATAATTTTAAAATTTTTTTGTAGAGACGGGGTCTTCTTCTATTGACTAGGCTTCTTTTCCTTAAAAATAATTAAAAATTTTACTCTCTTTAATCATGTGGTATGCTGAATAATGGCCCCTCAAAGATGTCCCCATCCCAATCCCTGGAACCTTATGTGGCAAAAGGAATATCGTAGCTGTGATTAAGAATCTTGAAATGGGCCAGGCGCGGTGGCTCATGCCTGTAGTCCCAGCACTTTGGGAGGCCAAAGTAGGTGGATTGCTTGAGCCCAGGAGTTTGAGCCCAGCCTGGGCAACATGGTAAAACCCCATCTCTACTTAAAATACAAAAATTACCAGGACATGGTGGTGCACACCTGTACTCCCAGCTACTCGGGAGGGTGAGGTGGGAGGATCACTTGAACTACGGAGGTCAAGGCTGCAGTGAACCATGATTACGCCACTGCACTCCAGCCTAGGCGACAGAGTGAGACCCTGTCTTAAAAACAAAACAAAACACAAAACACAAAGAATCTGAACATGCAAGAATGAAATGGAGAAGATGAAGAGCAGGTTCACACATTAGAAACGATCCCACAGAGAGGACAAGCTGAGAAGGATGGTGAGAGAGGGAATGACCTGCAACCTAGAAAGGAAGATGAGGCTGAGAGGGAGGAAGGGGTGGGACTCTCAGCACTGGAGCGGAGGTGATGACCTCTGAGCTTAGAAGATGGGGAGCTCAGGTGAGAAGGCTATGGAGCACTGTGCGGAAAAGATTTAACAGGGCAGGCCTGAGACCAGCATTCTTAGGAGAAGCCTGTTCACAAGGTTAGCCCTTGGCTGCAACTGAGAATTTGGATTTGGGGATGGTTCCCACCACCCTAACTGATGAGAGTGCACACACTATGTGGTTTATTCTAAACACTGGCTTTCTCCTGGTAGCCTGGAACCTTGGTCTGTGCTAGGCAGAGAGTGTCTATGTGACAGCCTCAGTCAAAACTCCTAGCACTGAGTCTCTGACAAGATTCCCTGGTAGAGTTCGTGTCTCACGAGGTGTCACACCTGAGTGCTGGGGAGCCTGGCACATCCTGAGTGACTCCACAGTGAGGGGACTCTGGAGGCTCATCCTCTGACTTATCCCCATGTGCCTTTCCCCCTTGTTGGTCTCACTATACTGAGAGCTGTCAGCGTGACTGATGCTGAGTCCTGTGTACTCCTAGTGAATGGGGTGGTCTTCAGGACCACCCACCACCACTCTTTCCATGACGGGCGTCTCCAGTGACCTGCGGGCTGCTCCCATTAGCTGCTCCCACAGACGGGTTCTCACCTGGATGGCAGCCCTGGATGGTTCCTCTCTCGGCCACCCATAGCTCGGTCCCTTGCTCCAGCTGGGAGATGACTTCAGGCTTCGGAAGCTCAGGACCTGGAAATGGGGAAAAACACAGGAGGCGAGGGGCTGCTCGGGACAGAAACAACAAGCCCGGGCTCCAGACCAGACTCCCGACTGAGAGGACATGTGGGCGCCTCACAACATGGCGAAGTCGGTGAAGCTCTGCATTGCGATGGAAAAGGGGAGACCTCCCTCTTCATGCACTCCCCACAGGGAGTGAAGACCCAAGGTCAGGTCCTCACACCAGAGGCCCCAGGACTTATAACCCGGGGAGAATCAGCTGTCGCACCTCGCGAAGCCGGTCTTACCTATGGAGAGCAGGTGCCCAAAGGTCTCCAGCATCACGTCACGGTAGAGGATCCTCTGGGTAGGGTCCAGCTGCCCCCATTCCTCCTGGGTAAAGTCCACAGCCACATCCCGGAAGGTCACTGGTTCCTGAAACATCACACACATTCTCAATCAGCTGGACTATCTCCATCAGTACTTTCTGGCAGAGGAAGAATGGAAAAGGAGAAAACAGGCAGGCCCATGTCACGAGAGACTGCACGTTACAAATGATGGGAGTCGGGTCTCACTGGGCACCTATTAGGCCACTACGCATAGGTGTGGGTTGTGCAGTGAGGACACGTGAGAGGACTCAGCAAATCAACGCCAAGCAGAGCTGACCTACATCGTCAAGACAGATGAGGGTACCAGCAGAGAGTGGCCTAAACCACCAATTTGCAGGTTTTAAGTAAAACAGATACTGTTTTAGGACAGTGTGTTACACAGCAGCTAGCTAATACACTCACTAACACTTAGATACAAAGTGAAATTGGCTGGGCATGGTGGCACATGCGTAATCCCAGCTACTTGGGAAGGCGAGGCAGGAGAATCACTTGAGTCCAGGAGGCAGAGCTTGCAGTGAGCCAAGATTGCACCACTGCACTCTAGCTGAGGCGACAGAGCGAGACTCCACCTCAAAAAAAAAAAACATCCAAAGTGAGGTTCGCCATCCTTCCTGAAAAGAGAAGGACATGAGGCTGGGGTCAGAAATTCACCTGCTTTCAGGGCAAAGCAGGCTCACATGACAGAAGTGGGCCAGTGTCAGAACCCACACTCACCTGTGAGCGGTGGGACTGGAGGTGAGAGGGAGCAGGGACCCTGTCTGAAGGAGCAGCTGGGACTCAGAACTGACTGATTATGGGGAAAATACAGGCCCTTTGTCAGAACTGCTCATCTCGGAAGAGAAGCCGAAAATTAGGTCAGATTTTTATGTGAAAAATTATTTTTCTTTTTGAGGTAGAGTCTCGCTCTGTCACGCAGGCTGGAGAGCAGTGGTGCCACACCTCCGCTTACTGCAACCTCTGCCTCCCGGGTTCAAGTGATCCTCCTGCCCCAGCCTCCCTAATAGCTGGGACTACAGGAGCGCATCACCACGCCCAGCTAATTTTTGTGTTTTTAGTAAAGACGAGGTTTTACCATGTTGGCCAGGGTGGTCTCAAACCCCTAGCCTCAAGTGATTCATCTGCCTCGGCCTGCCAAAGTGCTGGGATTACAGGCGTGAGCTGCCGCACGTGGCCTTTATGTGAATAATTCTGACTTTTATAAGTTGATGCAACATTACCTAAAATGTGTCCCATAAACAAAACCCTTCTGCAGCCATGCTTGAAAGCCAGATATTTCTGGATCAGAGTCTTGGCTCAGTCACCTCGTCCCCAAGAAGCATCTTTGCTTCCCAGTTTCCATGTCAACAAAGCATCACCCCTTGGGGGCTGTATAATGATTAAGTGGTTTACAAACACTTCCTACGGGACATCTGGATAGCCACATGGAAAAGAGTAAAGATAGTCCCTGTCTCAGCATATTTTCTGTTGCTGTAACCAATTATCACAGACTGGATAATTTATTGTGTTTTTTTTTTTCCTCGAGATGGAGTCTTACTCTGTCAATTGGGCTGGAGTGCAGTGGCACAATCTTGGCTCACTGCAACCTCTGCCTCCTGGATTCAGTTCATTCTCCTGGCTCAGCCTCCTGAGTAGCTGGGACTACAGGCACATACCACCAAATCCAGCTAATTTTTGTATTTTTTAGTAGAGACAGGGTTTCTCCGTGTTGGTTGGCCAGGCTGGTCTCGAACTCATGACCTCAAGTGATCCTCCCACCTTCTCCTCCTAAAGATGAGGTAATTTATAAAGAAAGTTTTGTTCTCTCTCTCTTTCAATAACTTAGGTAAAGGAAGTTGATTTCTGGGCCGGGCGTGGTGGCTCATGCCTGTAATCACAGCACTTTGGGAGGCCAAGGCGGGCAGATCACGAGGTCAGGAAATCAAGACCATCCTGGCTAATATGATGAAACCCTGTTTCTACTAAAAATACAAAAAATTAGCCGGGTGTGGTGGCGGGCGCCTGTAGTACTAGCTACATGGGAGGCTGAGGCAGGAGAATGGTGTGAACCCAGGAGGCAGAGCGTGCAGTGAGCCAAGATCGCATCACTGCACGCCAGTCTGGGCGACAGAGTGAGACTGCGACTCAAAAAAAAAAAAAAAAAAAGTTTATTTCTTACAGTTCTGGAGGCTGGGAAGTCTAATATCATGGTACTGGCATCCAGTGAGGGCCTTCTAGTTGTGTCATAAGATGGCGGAGGGCATCACATGGTGAGAGGGTAAGACTGTGCCAGCTCAGGTCTCTCTCTCCTTCTAAAGCCACTAGTCCCATCAAGGGAGTCCCATCCTGATAACCTTTTCTAATCCTAAATTTCTGCCAAAAGTCACCACCTTCAAATACTATCAACACATGAAACTTGGGGGACACATTCAAACCAACACAGACTTCTACCTTATACTATATATAAAAATTAACTCAAAACAAATCAGGCTGGCTGGGCAGAGCGGCTCATGCCTATAATCCCAGCACTTTGTGAGGCTGAGCCAGGCAGATCACTTGAGTCCAGGAGATCAAGACCGGCCTGGGCAACATGGTAAAACCCTGCCTCTACAAAAAAAAAAAAAAAAAAAAGAAAAGAAAAGAAAAAAATTAGCCAGGCTGCCTGTAGTCCCAGCTACTTGGGAGGCTGATGTAGGAGGAATGCTTGAGTCTGGGAGGTAGAGGTTGCAGCCAGCCAAGATCATGCCACTGCACTCCAGCCTAAGCAACCAGAGTGACATCCTGTCTCAAACAAACAAACAAACAAACAAACAAAAGAGAAATAAAATAAAATAAAATAAAATAAAATAAAAACAAAGCCATAAATGTAAGAGGTTGGGCACGGGGGCTCACGCCTGTAATCCCATCACTTTGGGAGGCTGAGGCGGGCTGATTGCTGGAGCTCAGGAGTTCGCGACTAGCCTGGGTAACATGGTGAAACCCCATCTCTACTAAAATATGAAAAAGTAGCCGGGTGTGGCAGCATGCACCTGTAGTCCCAGCTACTCAGGAGGCTGAGGCAGGAGAATTGCTTAAACCCAGGAGGCAGAGGTTGCAGTGAGCCGAGATCGTGCCATTGCACTCCAGCCTGGGCGACACAGCGAGACTCTGTCTCAAAAATAAATAAATAAAATGAAGAGTAAGAGCTAAAACTATAAAACTCTTAGAGGAAAACAGAGATAAATCTTTGTTACCTTGGATTTGGCAAAGGATTCTCAGATATGAAACAAAAAGCATAAGCAACAAAATGTAATCAAAACAAAAACTTTTGTAGTTCAAAGGACATTAGCAAGAAAGTGAAAAGACAACTCACAGAATGGGAGATAATAATTGGAAATCACATTTCAGAGACTTGTATCTAGAGTATGTAATGAACACATACAACTCCGTAATAAAAAGACAACCCAGTTAAAACAGGCAAAAAATCTGTATAGTTATTTGAAGAATATATAAAAGAAGATACACAAATGGCAAATAAGTACATGAAAAGATGGTCAACATCATTAGTCATCAGGGAAATGAAAAATCAAAACCACAAACCATCAGTGTTGCTGCTAGGTTAAAAAACGAAACAAAACAAAACCACACACACCATATACTTCAATTTTTTTATTTTTTGAGACAGGGCCTCACTCTGTTGACCAGGCTGCAGTGCAGCGGGTGCAATCTTGGTTCACTGCGACCTCCATCTCCCAGGTTCACGTGATTCTCCCACCTCAGCTTCCCAAGTAACTGAGATTACAGGCATGTGTCACCAAACCCAGGTAATTTTTGTACTTTTAGTAGAGATGGGGTTGCACCATGTTGGCCAGGTTGGTCTTGAACTCCTAACCTGAAGTGATCCATCTGCTGCGGCCTCTCAAAGTGCTGGGATTACAGGCATGAGCCACTGCACCAGGCCCCAAATACTTCAATTTTAAAAGGACATTTCCTTTTAAGAAAAACGTGAGTAGATTAAAAAACACGAAAGAAATTTTAGTACAGGTAGCAGGTGGCTCTGATAGGAAACATACAGAAAGATGCCTTTGGTTGGAAACTGAGGTCTCTGCTCCTGTCTCTGTGTCTTCACTTTCCTCCACTCAGAATGTCCACCAATTTTGATACGTGCTTCCCATGCCTCCTGCCCCCACCTCCCATCATCACCCATTCTGCAAGAGTCACTGGTGACAGCCTAGACACCAGGTCCACTGAGTACTGGTCTGTCCAAGCCATGAGAGTTCTCCGTAGTATCATACAAGTCCTTCATGCCTCCTCTTGGCCTCCTTCTTGGAATTCTAGCAGAAGCCCACTCCTTGCTGTCTCATGATGTTCTTTCTGCCCCACATCAGATCCCTCTTGTCTTGCACTTCTGGAGCCTGAAGGGGTGGGGTTGTGCTCAGATGTTTCTCCTTTACACATTCTTCTGCTGCCCAGGCCACCCCAGTATCAGCCAACACCTGGCCACTGGGCCCTAACCACTCCTCTCTTTTCCCCACTGCCTTAGTTGAGCTGTCAGTATCTCCCTTTCCACCAGCCCCTAATGCATGAGTGGGTTTTTTTCAACCCTATGCCAGTCCTGCTTAAAACACGTGAGTGGCTCCTTCTCATCACTGGATACTGGATGGCTCCTCTCAGCCTGGTATGGTAGACTGAGATATATAATGGCCTCCAAGGATATCCAGGTCCTAGTTCCTAGAACCTGTGAATATTACTATATATGGTAAAAGGAACTGTACAGATGTGATTAGGATTTTCAAACAGAAAAATTATCCTGGATTATCCAGGTGGGACCTAATTGCAATCACAAGTGTCTTTATGAGAGGTAGACAGAGGGAGCTGTGACTATAGAAGACATAAAGCAATATGATCACTGAAGCAACATGCTACACTGCTGGCTTTGAAGACGGGCAAAGGGCCATGAGGCAAGGAACAGAAGGTCTGTAGCTCTCACAGAGCCTTGGTAGGGAGGGTAACTCTGCTCATACTTTGATTCCAGCCCAGAAAACCAATTTCAGACTTCTGACCTCCAGAACCTTAAGGACAAATGTTGTTCTGAGCCACAAAATTTCTAGTGAATTGTTACAGCAGACACAGATAACCAGATAAAACACTGGACCTTGGAGCTCTCCATTCTGGTCCTTGTCTCCTGTGATGGACAGTCTCCAAGATGCTCCCCCACCACCTCTGCCAATGACCTCCAGCCCTGGTGTGGTCCCCTCCAACACTGAACAAGGTTAACTTTGTAACCAGTAAGACACTGTGGAAGTGACAGGAGTGTGAATTCTGAATTCAGGTCATGGAAGGTGTTAGTGTCTACCTTGCCCTCTCCTGGATCGCTTGTTCTGTGGGAAGCCAGATGCCATGTTGAAAGGATCCCCAGCAGTTCCAAAGAGAGGCCTACATGGAGAACGACTGAGGTCTCCCATCAACAGACATGTGAGTGAGCCATCTTGGAGGTGGATCCCCCAGCCTCAATTAAGTCTCAGGTGACAACAGCTATGCTGACATCTTCACTGTAATTTCATGGGCCTGGACCAGAACCACCAGCTAGGTCATTCCAGTACTCCTAATTGTCGGAACCTGTGAGATCTTTATTGTTGTTCCAGGTCACAAAGTTTTGAGTTACACAGCAACAGGTAACTAATACACTTTCTCTCAAGCCTTTCTTATTGCTCATTCCGTGTCCCCCATCCACAGCAAGAACAAACTAAAATGTGGTAGCATCTCATGCAAATTTGAAGTAACACACATCTGAAAACCTGCAACCTAAGATTATCAAGTCTCACTTTGTGTACCAAATCTGAAATAATGCAAATCCCCATGAACAAACCAACGACAAAAAAAAAAAAAAAGTACATAATTTCAAAGTTGCAGAGCTTGAGGAAGTGTAATTATTGTTGTTTCCTGCCAGGCGAGGCAGCACTTTATGGAGAACACAGGCAGCAGCCACTTTGTCTAGAAAGTGGAGCTCTCCTGGCCAGATGGCCCTGCAAGCACTGGCCGCCCTGCACTGCAGCTCTCCCACAGTCTCGCAGGGGACGACCCTGGTAGTCACTCTCGTCACACTCAGTGCGTGGTGACCCATCGTTGACCCCAAGAGGTTGTGCCCAAACCCCAGGGCAGGGGCTCCGCGGTGCTGGGGTCCCGGTGGGTGTCGGCTGACTCCACGCGTTAAAGCATCTCTATTCGATGATTCGTGCCACCTGGGCACTCGGCCAACGCTACAGTTACTGTTATCCGTCAACACGAGGACAGACCTTCCTGGAACGGGTAACGGTGTCGCCGGGCGGAGCCGAACGCGGGAGCTGGGCCTGTCGGATTCTCTCGGGAATGACCGACCCCAGCCCAGGGAAGGACACGGCCCCGTGGAGCATGCGCATTCGGGGGCCAGGCGCCTGGTTGGAACCCCGGTCCCCCCTCTGACCCGCCAGGCTGGTCACCACGCCCCGACCCGCGCCTCAGTTTCCCCACGTGTCAAGGGCTTAACAGCGGCGCCGCCCTCATCGCGCCGCGAGGTGAAAGGGTCAGTCTCAGCGGCAGACGCTTGCCCGGAGCCCGCGGCCGTCGTTATTGTTGTTATTGTTACCTGAAGCCGGGTCGCCGGCGGCCCCACAGACATCACCCCCGCTGCCCCTTCGTCCTCAGGGTCCATGCTGGATCGCCCAGTGAAGGACAGCGCCTGAGGTGATCCCCAGACCAGAGAGGCACTCCAGCCAAAGGGGACCACCCGACTCGGCGAACGCCGGACAATGGCGGCCGCACCGGCGACGCGGCGACTACAACTCCCAGTAGGTTGTGCGGCGAGCCACAGCTCTCGGCCAATGGGAGCCTCTGCCGGCCTGGCCTTCGACCAATGGAAGTATTATGGCCGATGGCCAATGGGAGCCTCCACCCGCTGGCGTCTGGCCAATGGGAGCGCTCAGTTGGGGCTGGTGGGGGCGGTGTTGCTCCGGGCTGCGATACCCGCTAGGGTGCGGGCAACCAGAGGCTTCAGTCATGGGTAGGGAGCGCGGGCGGACCCAGAGATGGCGGATTGTGGGGCTGGGGATCGTTCGCTGGGGGCAGTGCACATCTCCGCGGGCCGGGCCTACTCTTCCCGGGAGCTTGCGCGGGAGGAGGCCCGCGGCTGTTCGGCTTTACCCTCTGCTCCGCGGTGCCTAAAACGCACACGCATCAGTCACAGGACGACTTAGGGGTTTGTTCATAAAAAAGATTTTGGGGGTAGCGGCTGGAAGTGGGGAGTCTCGGAGCGCTGGTCCTGTTACAGGAAAGGGATCCGATTCAGACCCCATGGGAGAGGGTTCTGGGATCTCGCGCAAGAAAGAATTCAGGGCGAGTCGGCAGTGCAAAGTAAAATCAAGTGTGTTAAAAAAGTAAAGTTGTGAAAGAAGAGCTACTCCATAGACAGTAGGACGTTCCTGAAAGTAAGACGAGGAATGCATGCACCCTAGGCACAATGCTTGCGTATATATAGGCTAAAAATAGATTCTGGGGAGATGTGCTCTGCTACAAGGGTTTGTGAAAAAGAATTAATTTCTTAATTACTGTATTTTTCAAGAATCTATATTATTTTTAAAGCAAAATTAGGAATGCCTTTATTCTCTAGATACCAGGATTTCTGGACACTCCCAAGTCTGGGTCTGTTTTAGTAAACATTATTAATTTGTTCCCTTAACCGTAAACATCTAGAGGTTAGGAATACCTACTTTTCTGGGAATGCAGCCCAGCCTCATTTTCCGAGTCCTCACTCAAAATGGAGTCGCTCTGGGTCGAATGCCTTTGACAGTCCTATTGCTTCTCCTTGTGGATGTTCACTTTGTGATGTGTCTTTTCTGTGGGTCTGTTGTAGTCCATTAAAATGTTTATTAAAAGTGTGGCGCGGTGGCTAACCCCTATAATCCCAGCACTTTGGGAGGCTGAGGCGGGCGGATCACGAGGTCAGGAGTTCGAGACCCGCCTGGCCAATATGGTGAAACCCCGTCTCTACTAAAAATTCTACCTAAAAATAAAAAATTAGCTGGGCGTAGTGGCAGACCTGTAGTCCACAGTTTCTCGGGGGCTGAGGCAGGGACTTGGAGGTGGAGGTTGCCTTTGGCAGAATTGAACCCTGCACTCCAACCTGGAAACCTTAAGACTGTCTCAAAAAAAAAAAAAAAAAAAAAAAGAAAAATGAAAAGCAGGTTTGATAAAATGTTGACCATTCAAACACCCAACAATTTTTTAATTTTGTTTATTTTACTAAGAGGCAGACACACTTGAGAAGAATGTAGTTACTTGCATTATTTGCTCTACCCCCCACAGAGCTGATGGGTATAGTCTGAGGACTGAGGAAGATCAGCACATGACATGGCCCTTCACACAGTGTTGAAGAGGTGAAGAAGTCGCAGTGGGGACAGGCAGCTGACTCCTGAGGGCTCGGGAGCTGGCCACACTCTCTCACATCCTTCTGGCCTTGTACCCTCTCTGCTCTTTGCTGGACCCTGCGGCTCCTGAGAAGGAGCAGGTGTTAGACAAATTACACAAAATTATGAGAGGACATGGTTTGGACACAGGCTCTGCTCTAGGCCTCTGTGGGAACCAGACCGCTGGGGGCAGAGTCACTTAGGCATAATGCCACATAATCAGATTGATACTTTAGCAGTAGATCCTAAACAAAATTTGATTTCCACTCTGCCTCGTCAGCATAATGAAGTGTCCCACTGTTTCTAATCCCTACAAGAAAAGTAACCTAGTTAGTTAACTAATTGGCTTTTTCTCTGAACCACTGCCTGTTCCTTGTTCCCACCTTACAAAAACCACTATTCTACCATTTGCCGGTGTGGGAACCGTCATTTCTGTTTTTGAGTGGAGGCTGCCCAGATTATGAATCACAAATAAAGCCAATTTGATCTTTTGCAAATTTGTTAAAATTTTTTCTTTTGGCTGGGTGCAGTGGATCATGCCTGTAATCCCAGCACTTTGGAAGGCTGAGGTGGGTGGATCACCTGAGGTCAGGAATTTTGAGGACCAGCCTGGCCAACATGGTGAAACCCTGTCTCTACTACAAATACAAAAAAATTAGCCAGGTGTGGTGGCAGGTGCCTGTAAACCAGCGCTTGGGAGGCTGAGGCAGGAGAATGGCTTGAACCCAGGAGGTGGGGTTGCAGTGAGCCAGATTGCGCCACTGCACTCCCAGCCTGGGCGTAGGAGTAGGCTCCATCTCAAAAAATAAAATAAAACTAAATTCTGCCTTTTGACAGGTCTTCTTCACTCACCGCTGAGCATGGCGCTGCTGCTTAGAACTCGATCAGGCAGCCTTCCAGGAGACCAAATCTGTCTTCTGGCCAAGTCCAAAAAGCTGCCAGCAGCACCCCTTCTCTGCAGGTAAAGAAAGAAGATACTAGGAGGATCTATTTACCTTCCCTGAACATTGGCCACAGTGTGTTGGAGACGTAGGAGCAGGTGTGCAGGATCTATTATCTTCTTCTCTCTTTGGGGGAAGCCTGCATGTGTTCTTTTTTTTTGTTTGTTTGTTTTTTGAGACGTGAGGTCTCTACTCTGTTGCTCAGAGGCTGAATGCAGTGGTGCAATCTTCACCCACTGTAACCTCCGCTTCCCAAGCTCAAGTTATCCTCAACCTCAGCCTCCTGAGTAGCTGGGAAACCTGGTAGAGCCACCACACCAGGCTTTTTTTTTTTTTTTTTTTTTTTTTTGAGATGGAGTCTACGCTGTGCGCAGGCTGGAGTGCAGTGGTGATCTCAGCTCACTGCAGCTCTGCCTTCCGGGTTCAACGATTCTCCTGCCTCAGCCTCCGATGGCTGGGACTACAGGCGCCCGCCACCACCCGGCTAATTTTTTTGTATTTTTAGTAGGAGGCGAGTTTCACCATGTTGGCCAGGATGGTCTCGATCTCCTGACCTCAGGCAGTCTGCCCGCCTTGGCCTCCCAAAGTGCTGGGATTACAGGCGTGAGCCACTCAAGCCAGCAGACTAGTTTTTATAGAGACTGGATTTTGCCATGTTGCACCCAGGCTGGTCTCGAACTCAGAGCTCAGCTCAATCTTGTCTGCCTCAGCCTCTGAAAGTGCTAGGATTACAGGAATGAGCCACTGTGCCCAAACCTGTTGTTCATTTTGGAGGCAGTCACTAGGCTCGGCTTTCCTCCTAGTTCTAATGGTGTGGAGAATCCGTTATTTTGATGTCTATTATTTCCCTCTTTCCTCCTCTTCTTTTTTTTTTTTAATTTTGGGATCTGAGTCTTGTCTGTTGCCCAATCCAGAGAGCATCTAGGCTCTGTGACTTCAACCTCTTGGGCTCAAAGGATTCTCCCACCTCAGCCTCATGCCACCATGCCTGGCTCATTTTGTATTTTTTTTTTGTAGAGATATGGTTTCCAATGCTGCCTAGGATGGTCTTGAGCTTCTGATCTTAAGCAGTCCACCCATCTTGACCTCCCAAAGGTACTGGAATTACAAGCACCCAGTCCTTTTTTTTTTTCTGATTCTTGTTTATCTCTCCTTGATTATAAGGTAGGAGTTATCGATTGCATTAGTTCTTAAAAATTATGGTCAGGAGCCTAGATGTTCACAAGATCCTTAGGTATCAGTGGGTTCAAAACTAAGTTCATAATAATAATAGATGTGGCATTTTCTTTGTTGTAGAGGAGGCTCAGGAGGGTCACTGGATGCCAGTGGCAGTTGGTGTCCAGGTTCTTGAAGCCATACATGAGAAGAATTCAGGGATTAATCAGAATAAGCAGAAAGCCCAGAAGCTTTCATTTTACAGAAATTGAAAGGAAACCACGGGAGACAAGTGTAGGGAGTGGTTCCTGGCTCCTGGAAGTCTACTAGCGTTTGTTTGCATTTCTCAGCTGGGTGTTTTAATTATGGGTGGAATAGTCACTGGCATCTGGAAAGGAGGAGATTTCAGGCACCGCCCTCCCACCCCACTCCAGTCCCCACCCCCTTTCTCCCTTATTTGGAATTGCCTGGAAAAGTCATGGACATGTCACCCCTAGTAGTTTTGGCTGCTCTTCTCTCCCTTATTTTGGATTTTGTTATCTGTGGTTTCTTTTCTGCTTGTTTTGGTGTCGTTTGGGTTTTCCATTTCTCCTGGACTACCCAGCAGTGCTGTTGTCCTCTCCTTTCCTCTCATTTTCATGGAATATACAACCAGTTGTCCAGAGGCTGCTGGATGAGTCATGTTATAGCAGATGCAATGGGGACATGCAGCTATGGGAACTCCAACTGCCTTCAGTGAAGCCAGACATTAAGAGGAGATTTGAAAAAATATCATACAATGCTCTTCTCCTATTTCTGTTTTTTTTGGAAAATGCTGTTTTTCATAAAGTAGGTGATTTAAAAAAATATATTGTATTAGTCATATGGAGCTCTGTTTTCAACATACTACAAATCTAGGTAAACCAAACAACATAAATTTTGTTACAGTTGCTGAAGCCAGAAGTCTCAGAATCGAACAATGTGTTGGCAGCACAGTTGGTTCCTTCTAGAGCTACTACAAGAAAGTATGTTCCATCCCTTTCCTTAGTTTTGGTGGTTTGCTGCAATCTCTGGCATTCAGCCAGCCATAGATCTCTAACTTTGTCTTCAAATGGCATTTTCCTGTGTGTGACAAACTATCTGTCTCCAAATTTCTATTTTTACTAAGGACAATAGTCATAATGGACCAGGAGCTCACTCTAATGAATCTCATTTTGGCTCTTTTTTTTTTTTTTTTTTTTTTTTGAGATGGAGTCTCGCTCTATGTGGGTTGGAGTGCAGTGGCCGGATCTCAGCTCACTGCAAGCTCCGCCTCCCGGGTTACGCCATTCTCCTGCCTCAGCCTCCCGAGTAGCTGGGACTACAGGCGCCCGCCACCTCGCCCGGCTATTTTTTTTTGTATTTTTAGTAGAGACGGGGTTTCACCGTGTTGGCCAGGATGGTCTCGATCTCCTGACCTTGTGATCCGCCCGTCTCGGCCTCCCAAAGTGCTGGGATTACAGGCTTGAGCCACCGCGCCCGGCCCATTTTAGCTCTTTAAGATGCTGTCTCAAATAGATCTGAGGTCTATGGGTTAGAACTTCCAACATATCGATTTTAGGAAGAGACACAGCTCAACCTATATTAACATAGAGATAGGGTTTATTTTGAAAAATTATCTTAATAAAACATATTAATTTTTTTCTGTTTTAATTCCTAAGCCACCAAAAA